GAAAGCTAGTGCAGGATGCTAACTGCATGCTGCTGTAGTCACGTTCACATATGCTCTCACAGGGCAGAGGAGGGGTGGATGCAGAGTTTGATGGGGTGATAATGGCATAATCTGAACAGGAAGTGGAAATCTCCATTTCTGGACACAACTGCCTGGCTTGTGACCCTGGCTGCATGTTCATGTACTCAGATGATGAAAGGTCTGATTGGGCCTCAGCATCACTTACAGAAAACACAGGTGGGAACAACGACGCTAAGCTCGCTGAAAACGGCTTGTCATTGAACTCAATGTTGACATACTCGCCAGGACTTTTGGGCTCTGCGGGGAAGGGACTCTCACGTGTTCGCGGGAGAGTACTTGCTTTGATAGCATCCAATGACAGCCGTGTTGGCCGTGTCAGCCTACTGTTGCCCTCTGACCTTTTGGGTTTGACGGCAGACTGCTGGGAAGTGCCTTGACCACCCAAGCTGTCGCTGCTCGTCGAAGACGAGGACGATTCTGCGTACTGCAATCGATTAGAGCCCAGTGGTATCCGAAGAGGGCTCTGGTCCTGCTTCCTGTTGGCGTGCTTGAAGGAGCGGGGCAAAGAGAAGTAAGCATACATTGGCCTGGGAGGATCTTCGACAGGGTTGAAAAAGCAGTCTGGAGGCGTACTGGTCGTTGAACAACTAGCCGGGGACATGTTTATGTAGTCTCCGCAAGATGACACTTTACCTTCCATGCTCTCTACGGAGAGCTTAGGGTTGATGCCATTAGTCCAGATCTTGCCATAGTTTGTTGTGCCATCTGGAGAGCAGCTGCCACTTGGTGACATCATCATATAACCATTGGAGTCCACATGCGTGTGTTGCCGGGGGTTGATAATTTGCTGTGGTGCAGAAACACTTTTTGGACTCATTGGCATGTAGTCACCACTTTTCACCGTTGGGGTCGCAGGTGCAACGCCTGGCTGCATAGGCATGTAGCCGTCATCTTTGTGATCTGGTCCACTGTGGTCTTTTGCTTGTGACGCGTCTATACCTTCTTCTGGGTATGAATGTGTAGGCATGAATGAGTGCCTGTACGTTGACGACGATGATGATGCAGTGCGGCTTCGTGGGTATGTCGGCATCATTACAGTATACTCCTCCAGCGATCCGGCAGATGACTGTGAGGGAGTCTTTTGATGGCACGGAGTTGGCGGCGATGCACCGGAAGAATGAGTTCGTTTCCGGAAACATTTTTCCAACTCGGGCTCCTCTAGTCTCGATGGCGTTCCTCTGGATTGGCTTCGCGATTGGCTCCCGGTGCCTGGAAGTGAACCGGGCTTGGCCATGCAGATGTAGTTGTTTATCTCCTCCTCCCTAGCAGGCGGCGTGTGGCCAAGCGAGTCCGGAGTCACGCTACGGAAGGAGCTTCGAAAGTCACAAGGGCTGGATCCGTATTCATCAGAGGAAATGAATCCGCCATCACTGGGCGATCCAGATATGGAGGCGCTAGAGCGGCGTGGAAAGAGGCAGTCAGACGTGGATCCATGGCCGCTGGTGCTGCTGGAAGACAGGCTGATGGGGCTGATGGCTGAGGGGGAGCACCGCGAGGTGGGCGTGGGGATTGATCTGCTGTGATTGAGCGGAGGGTGAAGTCTGGATCCACCCCTGTGTCGCTGCGATTGAGGGCGGGCTGTGCTCGGGCTGCTTGGACTCCCATCCACGGACGCCGGCCTGGACATGGTGCCCTCCCCATCACTGGACGCTCTCACTCTGAATGAATGGCTGTGTTTGCCGGGTCTTACAGGAGAAGTGGCTGTCACACTCTCCGCCCGAGAGCGCCTGCCTAAGCCAACCTGACTGGGGGGAGGATTATTGTGATGATGCCTCCTGACAGGTACTGAGATGGGGTTTGAGCAGTTGGAAGATGACTGACTTTTGCTGCGGGGTCTGAACTCCTCACTCATGGCTTTCATGGCTTCTAATATAGTTTCATGCATGTTCTGAGCCACAACTGAGTCATCAACTTGCATCCAAAACTCCCCGGGCCCTGTCACGGCGGATCTCCCAACTTCAATGAAAAAGAAATTTTCAGAGTGACCACATCTTCTAATGTTCATCAACTGCAGGACCACTGCGGCCGCATCTGAATTGAGTTTCACAAAACTGATAGTCTTATTAGTGAGACATAATCTGTAAACGCCAATCAAGTTCTTTATGTGACCCAGACCCTTTGGTTTCAAAATAACCTGCCAAACCTCTTTGAAGGCAGGTCCCGGCGTGGCTTCGCCGTAATTATCCTCACCAATTCCGTGGCCTGTGGCAGTTTCGTGGACTTTACCTCTGTTATGAAGATCAACGAGGGCTTGATACCATGACTCCTGCTCTAACTCATTGTCAGCAGCGATGGCAAAGTACTCATCCTTGGCGTAAAGCGCAACGAGATGTTTGCTTTTAGAATCCGCTCTTTTGTTGATGTTAAAGCAGCTCTCCAGCGGAATGGACCTTTTCGGTGCTCCAGACTTGTGTCTCCACTTCTTCTCGTTTTCATAGTACTCCAGTCGGGACGGTCCGGAGGCACTTGCTGCCCTCAGTACAAAAAACCTTTTGTGCATGCTTTTGGGTTTCCTTAAATAACCCACCTTTTTCACATCCGAAAAACATCCTTGCTCCGTGGTCGGACTTGCCATGGTATAAAAAATAATTTATGGAAAAATTGCAGGATTGAAAGTCAAAGCCTTATACATTTACTCTTCGCCAAATGTGAACGCTGGGATATATTGCTTTCCATTGAGTAAAAATTGAAAAATAGCACTCAAAAAGACACTTTTGTGCGTACCGACAAAAGCTTGAATTATAACAGTTTCTTCAGCAGCATTACATTGTTAAAACTAAGTTTAAATAATCCACCAGGCATCCTCAAAGAATATTGCAAGTACCGCAAAAGCACCAAGTTTATGATGTACAAAAATACAAAACAGTGAAAATTAGAAAACAGTGTCCTTTTCAGTCCGGAGATCCGAATGCATTATCAAAACAAGCGCAGTCAGCAGCGTACCACGAACCCATTTACCCCGGAGATCAAAGCGCTGTCTGCAAAAATCCCCAAAGTGCAATTAAACAAAGCACGAGCGCAAAGTGTGCATCTGACCGTTATTTACAACGGAAACGTACCGAGTCCGTTTGAACAGCTGTATAAGTTCCTCCAAAAGTCGCTGAGTTTTCTCTTTTGCGAAGCCGTAACAGACCAAAACAAGGCAGCGCTCGTGTGTGTTTGTATGAAGGAGTTGAGACTGGGGGGGGGGGGGGTGGTTGCAGCCTAGCTTGTTACGACACAACTAAGAATCCCGCCCAGTTTGGAACTGACCTCGCTGATTGGAGGGATCTAATGTCAATCATCCTAGCGGGCTGTGAGAGACATGTGATTCAAATGTACTGGTGGGGATTTTGATTCATCCCAGTGACTCGAATCTTTTGAATAAGTTCACCAAGAAGATTCATTTACACGGATGTTTCATGGGCTTTCTTTAGATCCAGCGTGAAGCATGTGAGAGAACGATTCGTTCAGTTAAAAGATTCGTTCTAAACACTGAATCATTCACGAGCTAAACACCAGTATAAAGTTTTATTTAGAGGCGGTGTTGAAATACGCTATGTAACTATGCGCTGCCGTTATTTATAAACACACAATTGTAAAATGGGAAGTCATACGTTTCAGTGTTCATGTTACTGTCTATTTACATGGATAAATATAGTGACAACACAATGTAGGCCTACTTGTGTAATTGCCTTGTGGAAGTGCTTTGTAGGCTACACATTGTTATTGGTATTGCTATTATGACTATGATTAATTATAGTTACATGTAATGTGTGTAACATAGACAGTGTAATGAAAAGTGGACTTGTTTTTCTTTCCTCCTGGTGGGAAAGCGTATGTCGGTTCACCGAAACGAAAAGTAGGCTACATTAATTCACAGAGACCATATCCTCCTGAAAATGAACTAGAAAATGTATATTTAACAGAAAACATGGAATTATAACATGAACATAAATGATAATAATAATAATAAATTAAAAAGGAATCCTGCCGATGCGGGCTAGGCTATACCTTGAAAATGTATTTCTGGTTAAATCCTTAAAAATAAGAAATAGAATTGGATAAAATGGACAATAATATCATAATGTCTTGGCGATGGATCACTAAAAATGTGTTGCTATTTGTTATGGCTGTTCAACGAATAGTCATCGCTAGCCAAATGTTCTTTTACAAATGAATTTAAATGAAGCACCTAATCAAACATACAATCAGAATTACACTGTAAAGACATTTTTAAATCTAACATGAAGTAGGGGTGAATTCAGGTTGATTGGTAGATCATCTCAATGGCAAAAAGTGTCCCAATGACCCTGAATTCATAAGCCTGCAAATATAGTTTAAGAATCTCATCTCTGCATTCACTGAGCAATGCTGCCATCTGCAGTCAACATTGAAGAGAATTTCTTCACATGTAAAGTTGTAAACAGCAACTTATACATTTTATTTTTTTGTGCCTTTTGAGTTTATTCATGTACATGTAATTTAATCGTTTGATAAATCAAGTTTCATCTTGTTAAAACAAGCGTTAGGCCTAAAGGCGGTTGAAATTTCAAGGTGTGAGCCATGAGGTTATTTTCTTACATCAGCTCAAAAATATTAGTGCTGTCTAATTATGTTTTCACTGCCAAAAATGTATTTGACCAATATTGTGGGTGCACCACTGGATATGGTCAACAGCTAACCTCCCACGGTCCCACATTTTTCTCTTTTACCTTTTATTGACAACAGATAGACATCTGAACCGTACATTCATCCATCACTGTCCATGTACAGTGTATTTTGAGTCTGTGCTCTCACAGGTATTTGTGTAATGAGACAGTAACTCTTTTTGCAAAGGTCAAAGAGTTCACTTGTAGAAAAAAACCCTACAAACGTCATGAGGGATGAGGTCACGCGACCAGAAGTCCCGTTGCGTCACTTCCGTGTTTACTACCTGACGAAACATGGTGAAATGAAAGTAAAATCTGACGTGTCCTACTCTTTTTATTACAGTCTATGGTCCTACTGTTGATCGCTAATATTAGGACTCGGGAATCGCTTGACACAACATCAAATTTACAACGTAAGAACTTCGAGCATTCAAAACAGCAGCTGTACATTCAGATGTAATGGTAAGTCATAAATGCACAGTAATTCTGTCTATGTAGCCTAGAATACTTTATTTTTAATCCTCAAAATAATAGTGATTGCATGTATGTAGTAACGTTAGATAAGATTACACGCGTGATATTACCCATAATATTCTTATGATGTTTAGTATATAATAGATTCTTCATTAGGGCTTGTAAAGGGCACGTAAAATGCTCTGTAAATATTTGTTTCAAACAATTAAGAAGATACAGTGTCTTGTTTTGATGCTATTTGTATTTGAATGCGCTCGTGTGTAGCACTTACTATGAATGCATGATGACTTTATTGTCAAATGAAATGAAATAATTAATGTTATGCTAATACCTTGAAGGGATCCATTTCCAACTATTTTAGATTCAGATAAAATACACAACTACATTTAATGACTCTAAAAAAAAGCCCATCTAATTTGTTTGTGGCAAATAATACACACTTTTAAAAATTCACATCTTTTGGAAATAGACAGGAAACGTTGATGACTCATCTTGCGCCACACAGTTTTTGTCCAATCAGATGCTCTCTAGAATGGAATGCCCCTCCCCCAATACCATTGCAACAGACAGACTCCAATCATGCTTCATGATTTTACATGCTTTACAGACAGATGGTATGAATTGCACTGGTATTTGAACACATTAATGTAAAAGAAGCAGTCTTTCAAGAAATGTAAACTAAAACGTTTACATAGATATAAAACACTATGTGTATGAGAATGTGGTTGTGTGTTTTAGATGCGCAACAGACACAGGGGATCCAATCTCGGCCTGCTCCTGCTGGCCTCTCAGGTTTTCCAGCTGGGAATAGACAACATCCCACCTGTCACTCTTGCAACACTGGGCCTCAATGTCTATTTGTTCCTGTTTCCTGTCAAACCCCTCCTACAGGTAGGCTAGATAATATTATAACACAAAGTTCAACACAGAACACAGGGCACATGCAGGGTCCAAAACAAACAAACATCTGACGATAGCAAGTGAATGTATAAAATTTGCCAGCCATTAAACATATGCATACTTTTATTAAAAAAGTTAGTCAAATTTGTAGACACATTTCTTAATATGTTAGTGCTGATAAGATGTTTTGTGAATCTGGTCTGTTTGTGTGTGTTTTTTAGACGTGTTTGAGTGTTCGGGAGGCGTACTGGTACGGAGACTGGGCTCGCCTGTTGCTGTCACCGTTTCACCATGTTGACGACATGCATCTGTACTTCAACATGGCCTCCCTCCTTTGGAAGGGCATCAAGCTTGAGAGGAAACTGGGAGGCGCCTGGTTTGCGTACCTGCTGTCGGTCTTCTCTCTGCTCACCGGATTGGTCTACCTGCTCCTGGAGACAGGACTGACACGGATGACGGAAGACTCGTCGTATAGTCTACAGTGTGCCGTGGGGTTCTCAGGTGTGTGTTGTGTTGGATCATGATAACAATATCAATTTATTCCTGTGATCAAAGCTGTATTTTCAGCATCATTACTCCAGTCTTCAGTGTCACATGATCCTTCAGAAATCATTCTAATAGGATGATTTGCTGCTCAAGAAAGATTTTTCACTATTATCAATGCTGAAAACAGTTGTGCTGCTTCATATATTTCATAAATCACGATATGTTTTCAGGAATCTTTGATTAATGGAAAGTTCAAAAGAACAGCATTTATTTGAAATAGAAATCTTTTGTAACATTTCAAGTGTCTTTACTTTGATCAATTTACAGTTTTTTCTTTTTTTTTTTACAAAACTTTGCCTCTTTTTTAAAAACTTTACACACAAATCCAAGAATTGCAAACACAAACACTCTTGCAAACTGAAGCACTGCATTCTAAATATCACAAACACATCTCAAAGGCAAACATTTGTCTCACGCTGCAAACACCTTTGCCATTATATTATATTTTGGATATATCATATACAGTTATTCAAAACCTAAAGCTCTTCTTTCACGATGTACATTTCTGTACAAAATTGAAAGTAATTGGCAGAGAGATGTTGAAAAATTCACGGTAAACACGAAATCAAGATTGAAACCAAACTATTTATTTTTTTACTCTAAGCGTTTGTGGTTGTGAATTACGCAGTCCGAAAAACCTATAACTTGACCTTTGGCCTATTTATAGGCCTAATCTAAAGCCATGATTGGTGGTGTTAAGTAAAGCAATGAGTGTTTGCACATGTGAGGATTTCGTGTGAGGCATTTTGATAGGTTGTGTTTGAAAAAGGAAACAAGATTCTTCTTGTTAGATTTTTATGTGTTACAGTACATAGAGAATTCTGTGTTGTGGTTTGCAAAAAGTTTTTTATGACATTGAAAACTGAGTTGAAGGCCAAGAATTAGTGTATGGTTTTGCAGATTTGGTGTGTGGTTCTGGTGTGTGATTGTCAGGTTTCAGAAATTGTGTGACAAGTAAGGATTTTGTGTGTGAGTAGTTGAAAAAAACTGTATGAATTTCTTTTTTTTTTATGAAAAAAACAACAAAACTTGTCTCTAAACTTTTGAAAGGTAGTGTATATTTTACTATCACATTAATCCTGTGCATTGGTGTAAAGAATAAAAATGGAGTGGAACAACAGAAATCAATGAATTTATAGATGTAATTTTTATATTTCTCTTGTAAGAAATGAGCATTGCAGCTGTTTGTTGTTCGTTTTAGGTGTTCTGTTTGGGCTGAAGGTGGTGAATAATCATTATCATCCAGGCGGAGCCACGTACGTCATGGGGCTGCCCATAGCCAATCGCTACTCCTGCTGGGTGGAGTTGGTCCTCATCCATGTCATGAATCCGGGGTAGGCATGACACTCATTTCAAAGACACTAGAGAAAAACAGCAATACTATTAGACTTAGGCCAGTCCTGAAATAGGGACCTTTTTTCCCTCGCCATGCAAGACATAAGCAGTGCCCCACATTTCATTTATGTCCGTATTTTTTTTTTATAATATAATTTTTTTTTATTGCCGTTTAAAAATCCATTTGTGCAGCCATCATGTTCTAGCTAGAGCAGGAAAGTAACCAACCAGCACATTCATAGAGAGGTATTTTTCCACTTGTCCACTTTTTTTTTTTTTTTTACTGTGAATTGACAGTTCCATGTTTTTATTAAAATCAAGAAATACAAGTTCAAGATGCACTGAATCCGGTAAAATGCATTTATTGTTTGCATAGTCTAATAAAAGAAAGGTTTTTACCTACTAGCCTGTTATTCATAATATTTAGCAGACTGAACAGATGAGATGCCATGGAGTAAATGACATTGTATCACTCAAAACTGGGCAAATTAAGGGAACATTCACAGTCTCACAGAGCCTGTCACAATTAACAAAGCTTATTGGCGTTTTAAACCATGTCATTATCCATCATAATGGCAAATAGGCTTTCCAAAGATTGTAAATCAACATTTACGTAGTATAATTGTGGTACATTTATCTCTCACTCGTGTCCCACATTGTCCCGCAAAATCACATCTACATCCTGCAACAGAGCGATAACCAGGTGGTTACACTACAGATAATATGACTGTTTTTTTCCCCCTAAACTTTTTGATTTATAGTTGGCCTAGGATCTGATTCACAGCTTATATTAACACACTTTCACTCTTGCAGGACGTCATTTGTTGGACATCTGGCTGGGATCCTGGTTGGGCTGCTCTACACGAAAGGACCACTAAAGAGATTAATGAAAACATGTGCAGGTAAACACAACAATTTGAGTGTTCTTGTGTGTGTTTGACATCTTTGTACCTTAAATATGTTAATACTGTACGCATATACACTACACTACTGTTCAAAGTTTGGGGTCAAGGATGTGTTAAAGTGATCAAAAGTGACGGTAAAGACATTTATAATGTTACAAAAGATTTCTATTTAAAATAAATGCTGTTCTTTTTAATTTTCTATCAATAAAAAAAATCCAGATTTTTTTTTTTATCAGTTTCCACAACAATATTAAGCAGCAGCACAACTATTTCCAACATTGATAATAATAAGAAATGTTTCTTGAGCAGCAAATCAGCACATTAGAATGATTTCTGAAGGGTCATGCGACTCTGAAGACTGGCGTAATGATGCTGAAAATACAGCTTTGACATCACAGGACTGTTTTAACTCTATTTTAGATCAAATAAATGCAGCCTTGGTGAGCATAAGACACGTCTTTCAAAAATATTTTAAAACTTTTGAATAGTAGAGCATGAGGACACTTAATCCGAGAATAAATGCATCCGGTCACATAAACGGCCATATCTATGTCATTTCAGGCTTTGTGACATCTAATGGGCATCATGGAGGGCAGCAGACATACTACAACTCATCAGGTATACAGTTACAGATCTGGAATAATATCAAATCGGAATCATTTTTCTCTTTTTGTTTTATAGGGAAATATTCAATTCGTTAAAAAGGCAGCCATCTGATATTACTAAATCACATCCGTCCTCAGAAGAAATGGCTCTGACTTTGAGAGCCGTTAAAGATGAAAATATTTAAGGACTGCTTACCAGTCCATTATAGTCCTCAAGTCGAGATGCATCATTTGTATGTCTGTGTTCACAGGATACAGTGGCTATGGCATGCCGAATCCTCCAAACACACATTATGGACAGCAGTCATTTAATCGCAGGCAGTATGGCGCCCCCTACAGGGATCCGTACGACACACACATGCCCTCTGCGCCGCCCCAGCATCCCTATACAGCAGGACTGTCAGATGAGGAGCAGTACCAGGCCGCTGTCAGGGCCAGCCTCAGCGACAGAGGTGAGTCAATGACCACGTTATGCCATTTAAAAATGCTTAGTTATAAACAAGCTTGTAAATAAAAGTATTATACTTTCATGGGGTCAGTAAGATTATTTAGTTTATTTATTTGAAAGAATTGACACTTTTATTCATCAAGGATGCATTGGATTGATCAAAAGTCATAGTATACTATATACCAGCAGTTACAAGGTGCAACGTTGTTATTTTTGCTTTGTAGGAGATTCTACGCAGGCTAGATCTTCACATGGCACTTATTCCCACTCTAACCCGACGCCTGAAGAGATCCGCTGGCGACGACTTCAGAGGTTTACCAGCTGAGCGCTTGGGTAACGCCACTAGATCGTTTACATGAAAGACAACACTAAACAACCAATCGGAGCTAGCGGAGAAGACTCTTCCGCTGGTGATTGGTTGTGTCATTGTAGAGCAGATCCCCTCTAATGTGTGGGAGGTTTCCAAGGCTGCTGCCTGTACTTTTTAATTGCAAAAAGTTTGTAAACACATTTGTTTTTGCTTTAAATGCTGCTCTTAATGTATTTATGTTGAAAGTGTAACATCCATGACACGTGGTTGTAGATACGAGTGCCTTTTGCAGTGTTGAATGCAACTTTCAATGTGCCAATACGTCTTTAAAAAAAAAATGTTTTGTGAATCTTCTCTAGCACATTGCACTTGATTAATTCCAAACAACTTTTCTTCTTAAGTAACTTATACTTTGTTTCTTAAGGAAGTATATTTTTTGTAATCAAACAATAAACCATGCTTTTTCTGACATGTTGTTCATTGGTTCCAAGATACTTCTGTGCTCATATGGTATATTATAAAATATTGAGTAAAAATAAAACCGGTCAATATAAAGAGATGGAGATCAATTAAAAATTAAAAGTTAGGTTAGTCAGTAAGATTTAAAAAAAAAAAGAAAAGAAAGAAATTAATGTTTATTCGGCAAGGATGCATTAAACCTCAAAAGTCACAGTATAGACATTAACATTGTTACACAAGTTTTTTATTTTAAATAAATGCTGTTCTTTAACATTTTCCATTCATCAAAGAAACTTGGAAAATTGCAGTTGCACAAATGCACAAAATATGAACTGTTTTCAACTGATGATAATCAGAAATGTTTCTCGAGCATCAAATCAGCACATTATAATAATTTCTGAAGGATCATGTGACTCTGAAGACTGGAGTAATGATCCTGAAAATACAGCTTTGATCACAGGAATAAATTACATTTTAAAAATATGATTAAATTAGAAAACAGCTATTTTAAACTGTATTAATATTCCCCCAAAAATATATATTTTACTGTATTTTTATCAAATAAATGCAGCCTTGGTGAGAATAAGAGTCTTAAAAACATAAAAAATTGTACCGAACCCAAACTTTTGAACGGTTGTGTATTTATTAGATTTTTATACAGTCCACAAATGAAAAGTGTTTATTTCATTCAGAATGCTGGGTTTCTCTTTATCAGTTAGTGTTAGTGAGGATTACAGTGAGTTATGTTGAAGAAAAGAAAGTGGGATATTTTAATGGAAAGAAATCACTTCTTACATTATGAACGATATCAGAAGCCACAGAGGTAATTTCTGTAAGATTTAATGGAAGGTGCTGAAGGAGTATTCAAGTAGTGTGTTCACAACCAAAGACTGAATGTTCAAACCCCAGAAGAAGTGATACGTTTCTACCATCTGCAGTGTATGCTTAATATTAAATTTGTATCATGAATATAGTGTATAAAAGAACCCCTGTATATGATGTGAAACCCCATGCAGATTTGTTAGGTGTCTCAGTTGGGTGAGTTTATATTTTCTTTTTTCCAAGTCATTATTGTTATTACAAATATCACAATTTATTATACATTTAATACACAGTAAGAGTTTAACCTGATTGTTAAATTTAAAAATGCATATGACAATGAAAATCAAACTTCTTGGGAAAGAGTTTTTAACATTTTGTGATGTCCTTATGTGTACGTCCATGCTCAGGTGTAACAGTACTCAAGACATTAAAATGTCCCCACACACAGTGAATTGCATTTCTAACCAGCTTGCAGCAATATCAAAATCAGACAATAATAATCACTTATTTTTAAAATATGGGAACAAGTGTTTAATTCACTGTTATCCAAAATAGCACCAAAGTAATCTCTAGCTAAATAAATACTCTTGACATTTAGTAAAAATATAAAGCAAAGCTGCAACTACGGGCACTTTTGACTATCCCAATTTAAAAAAAATCAACCTCTATGAATTATCTGTAATATAAAAATTTACACAAAATAGAATGTAGTCGTTAAGATTTTAATCTGGAACATTATTTTTTATGTTTTCAGGTCATCTTCTTAAAAAGTGTCCTTACCGCAACGTTACAATAACGTTCATTTTATACATTTTTCTTTAGTAATTTCTATAAAAAAAAAAATATATTTAAATAGCTTTTTCAAATTTGATGCAGTTTTGTAAATACTGATATAAAAATAATAATATACAAAATAGGGAATTTCATGTTTTTTTTCTATGCCATGTAAAAAAATGTACAGTAACCTTAGATGTCAATTGTTTCCATACACACAAAAGATAACATATTTAACTTTTTATGACAGATGTTGCAATTTCAATGTGTTAATCATCTCAGCTTAAGTGTAAAAATATTTTTTTGTAAATGAAAATGTGAAAAAAAAAAAAAAGCGAAAATAGAGCAGTGCTGCGGTAATGGCATCTTGTGTCGGAAAGGACACAATGTTAAACTGCCACGACAGAAAATGGCATGTTTATATATATACACTAATATATACTTCAGTACTAATAATATACTGAATATTTGTAATTTAATATACAGTAAACCTTGAATTTGTCTCTACCGCAACACCTAAATTTGCTGCGGTAAAGACATGTTGCGGAAATGACATTTTTGCTAATATTTTAGCTAATTGGCAGCTAGCAAGGCCTACCACATTAGTTTTGACTCTAAGCATCTTAATATACATGAATTCAACAGTAATATACATTTATTTTTAAAATGTAGTTCAAAATACACAATTATTAAGCTGAATGGTAAGGACGCACAATAAATACTAGAGCAGAAAAGATGATGTTTACTTAATTTTTTTGGGAATCTTGTGAGTGAGGTAGTGTGGGTGGCCCAGTCTGTCAGCAATGTGCTCAAGTGATCATTTCTGTTTCCATAGAAACTAGACTTGTTTGTGTTTGATCAAATTTCATAATAAAAGCTTTTTTTCATCATTGCGGTAAGGACTCAAAAGTGTGGGACAGGCACATTTAGTTAAAAAAAAAGCATAAAAATGATCAGTAAATAATACAAAGAATTTTAAGATGCTGTAAATGAATCTATATATTAAACAATTCCATATGAAATAATGTCAAATTGTAATTAAATTAGCTTATTTTATGTATCTCAACATTGAGACCGCAGGTGTGGGACATTAAATATAATATTATGAAGCATATAGCTCAAAACACCATTTTTGTTAATCACATTAATCAGTAATTATATTTTTTGTCAAAGTGTGTAATGGCACTGTGAATATATTTATGAAACATCAAATGACAAATTTTAACATAAATCTAAAATTTCACTGCTGGGACAGTGTTTAGACAGTGAGAGGAGGGAAATATTAAAGTTTTTTTTTTTTTTACCAAACAAAAACAAAAACTAAGCAGGTAAGGTTTTCAAGTGTCCAATAATGAGTGGGAAGTTCAATTGAAATGGTCTTTACACAAAACAGCAGAACAGAAGGAGACAGAAATGAAAGGTAAAGGACTATTTTTTTAGGCTAACTACATTAAACAGAACTTTCAGATGTACCTTGTGGCCTGAAGGGTGTTTTAGAAATGGTGCATGTATGGAGTACAGTGAAATAAGGAGTGTTTTAACACTGACTGAAGTCTTGAATATCATCCAAGCATTCACATTCACAGCCATATTCTGACATGATAATGCTAGTCTTTGCCACAGGATGCGTTTCCTTCAGAAACCAGAGACAAGTCTTATAGGCCGGGAGCCAGGTCCACTCCTATGGATGTTTTCTGCTACCTTTTTTTGCACTATTATTTCCTATTATCTTATACCTTGGGCCATTACAAGTTGATAATTACCACCCCCAACTCGGCCCCGTTTGGTCTCAGGGGCCAAAAAACACCCTTTTTGTGAAAAGCTTTAGGGGGCATGTGTCGTGTCAGGATAGACCATGCAAAATTTTAGGGTTATGACCATTTATGTAGCTGCAGCACCTTAATACATCATTCTGCCAAAAACTTTTCCCAAAAAGGGTGTTTTTTGGCCCCTGAGACCAAACGGGTGGTCATTATCAACTTGTGATGGCCCAAGGTAAAAGATAATAGGAAATAGTGAAAAAAGGTAGCAAAAAAACATCCTGAGGAGTGGACCTGGCTCCCGGCCTATTAATGAAATCCAAATGTTTGTTAGTTCATGCTGTAGATTGTTGGTTAAAACAGCCATTCACACAGAACGTGTTTTCGCTTTGAAAATGCGGGCAGTGGAATGGGGAAAAAACACAAGGTTTCGAGACGCGTTTTTTAAAATTGAACTACTTTTAACTTGAGCGCCACGATTTCAGAACGCTGTGTCATGAGCGAGATGCTGCAAAAGACGCAAGACGTCTAAGCGCGTGTTTACATTGAAAAATAATGGAAAAGTAGCGCAGTGGAATGAAAAATAATGGAAAAGTAGCGCAGTGAATGGAAAAACACAATAGGCCTACTGATGTTTCCATCCAAAGTTGCGAATTTAACTGCTCAAAATTGGAATATCGGACAAACATAAAGCAATTTAAGCACAATCTCCATCCCATGTGTTCAAGAGAACAAAATCGTCACTTCCTGGGAAATTGGGCAAATTATCTGTAATAAAAAAGGAAGTTGCTGCAATGAGTGCAATGGCGCTGGTTCCATTCATTTTTCCAAAAGGGAAAACTTTAAATCGAACAGAAAGTTTAAAAAAATTAGACCAAAGGTACAACAAGACAATAGGCTTGTTTGAGATGCGCCTTGCCTCGCCTGAAATGTAGTCGAGAGAGTAGGCGGCTGCAGTAAGAGGAGGAGTGAAGAAAGCGCAGGCAAGCCGGACAGATCTCTCTTCTCGCAGAGGATCTAACACCTGCGAGATCGAAGATGGATATCGCGGGATTCACGCTCATGCACAGTGTTGCTAATAAACTGGATGTAATTTAAGTTATGTTGCTTTATTATGAAAATAAATATAATGAACAAAACACCCAAAGTAGCCTACTTGTTATTTAATTCCATTCCAAATACGTGTTTATCAATATTTTTTTCTTTAATACAGATGTGTTTTTTTAATTTTTATATAAAAATTACATTGCATAACCCATTAGATCGCACCGTCAGAGAGTTTGGGAATATTCACATAACGTATACACTTACAACATGATATCAGAGTTTTAAAAACAAACATTTTACACAAAAGAGAACAATACATCACGGTTGTTTAAACCAATGAGCATTAGGCTGTGTCGTCAGCAAGTCGTTTCCCATCGTGCTTTTGATCAGCGCAGTCGGTGGAGAGCAACTGCGCGCGACTGCAGAATCCGACACGTGCGCCTTGCGCTTGCGAGAGTTTTTTGACATACGTCAGCATGACATCAGAGCAAGGCGGACCGCACTCGGACACATTTCTTACCGGCATGCATCTCGCGCTGATCACCAGTGATCGGTTCTGCGCTGATTTTGCTCATCTCAAACAAGCCTAATGGATTTACTGAGGGAAATAAATCCCATGAAGCATTGCGGACAGAATAATCGAATTAGAAATATAAAACAACTCATCTACAAATGTTGATTATATATAAAAACAACATATTTAAAGTTTATTTCAAAATATGCATATATACTGTATATACAAACATGTAAGTATTTTGAGAGCGTAGGGAGATCGACGAGATTATGTCATTCGAAGTGCTTCATGGGAGTGGGCGGAGCTAAAAAGCTCTTTTGGCACGTTCAGTTTCTTTCGACTGATTGTTGTAGCCTACCGTAACTTTCTGTACAGTATCATGGGTAATGTAGTTTTTCCACAAGGGATTCTGCTGTTAAACACAATTAATGTAAAAAATAAGCTGAAATAATGCAGGCTGAAGGCATCAGCAGAAGCAAACGTGGATTAACAACCTCATAGCTCATAGTAGGGTTGTCTTTAAAAGATTTATAAGTTATCATTCAAAATCAATTTACCTATGGATTTTTTTCTTCTGGAACCCAACGGTTTCACTCCATAGGTGGAGCCACTGTTTTTTTTCATACGTCATTTGCACCTCAGAGCCTGTCTTGATAAACAATATATATACAACTCAATGGTACGCATACGTTTTTATACGTGCATTTTTAGAATTTATGCACATCTTGGTGTTTGCGTGGAAACATAGCAGATAATAATGTACACCTTGATTGCCTTGAGATTAATTTGTCTCCCAAAAAAAAAAAGAAGCAGATTTCTGTTGGACCACCATGAACCTTTTGTGAAATCTGTGTGAGGAAATCTTTCGCCCTCAAGTGAGTTTCCAGATTTCTTGGATTCCTATCAAAATTACTGGCTTTTGGCCAATGGATGTGCCGAACAACGGGAAAACGTGACCACAGTTTGATGCTGCACAAAATGCTAGGTTTGAATTCAAGAAAATGAGAAATTCAAGTCTAGAAAACCATTTTTTCTTTTTAACAGTCATTTGTTCATTTTTATATAAAGAAAACTGCACCTACATGACAAAAGGTGCCTTTACTCTGACCGCAATATTAATTTAGCTAGCAATGGCAATAGCTGCAAAGAGACGTTCCTATTTGATTTCACTGGATCACGAGAGTTTCATTATCAAGGTGAGCCGCCGGCCTCAGTGTTAGGAAGTATCGTGTGATATCAGGTCTCGCTAGGTAACGAATTGCTTTACGGCAAAAAACAGATCTGATAAAATTCTGATGAAATGAGCATCAAACAGAAATAACCCGGCGCCGTATACATGTGGTGTTGGGCGCGCGCAGCTCTTAAAGGGGCCACACCTTATTTCCACTCGTTACAGCGTCCATCCTACTGAACAGGTACCGGTGTACAGGGGGAGGAGATCCGGCCGTGAGTGCGAGCCATCTCTGCGTGAGTGCTATTCACGACAGTACAAGTACTCCACAGCGACTCTAGGGGTCGCTGTTTGACAAAAACGGAATTCCTACTTAGTGCTGCTTTAAAGACCTATAAGCACCATAGACCTAAACTAGCATTACTATATTGTGCTGATAATGTTTGATAATTTGCACACAAACGTAATAGTTGCTGATACAAGGATCCAGGGAGAACATGAATATTGGTGTATAGGAATTTGTTGCAAATGGTCTGGGTTTTTACAATTTTTTTAAATGTAATAAAAACTAGAAGCAAAACGTGCACTGAGTAAAGATGTAAAAGAAGTCATGTAAGACAGAGCTATGTTGGAACAAATCCAGTAAAGTAAAAAGTTCACAGTCTGTAGTTTTTTGTCATCAAAAAAATGGTCACAAATTATGTCCATTTTATCCTTAAAGCCAAAAGCATCTCCATCAATTCCAATCCAGTGACCTATTTGCATTCTAGTTTTTATTACATTTAAAAAAAAAATTAAAAACCAAGACCATTTGCACAAATTCCTATACACCAATATTCATGTTCTCCCTGGATCCTTGTATCAGCAACTATTATGTTTGTGTGCAAATTATCAAACATTATTTGTTATTTATTTTATTTTTTTCATGACTTGTATCAATTGTTGGGATCATTCATCATGCAGACGTTGCATTTGCTGACGCTCTCGTGGTTCTCCTGCACAGGACTTTGAGGATTGGAGTTAAAGTGCTGCGCGTTCACTTTTGTCAGCCAGAAACTGTAGCTGGTGGCGAAATAATGGCATGTGCCAGCCGGACCTCGGCACTCCACGAACGGCTGACTGCGGAAGTTCTGCAAGCAGCTTCCTGTTGACGCCAGAGACTGTTCACCTCCCTCTTTCTCCGATCCTGTATACTGGAACACCGAAATTAAGTTGCATCATGTGATTGGTTTAAAATGTAAAGAGATACACACTACTACTCAAAAGTTTGAGGTTGGTAAGATTTTTCTTTTGTTTCTGAAAGTCTCGTATGCTCACAAAGGCTGCATTTATTTGATTAAAAATAAAGTAATATTGTGAAATATAATTACAATTTTAAATATCTGATTTTTATTTGAATATATTTTAAAATGTAATTTATTCTGTGACCAATGTTGAATTTTCAGCATCATTACTCCAGTCTTCAGGGTCACATGATCCTTCAAAAATCATATGACAATTGTATTATTATCAATGTTGAAAACAGCTAGTGCTGCTTAACATTTTCTTTTGGATATATATATATATATATATATACACTGATTGGCTTCATCACTCTGTCTCCTCTCCACCAGTAAGCTGGTGTGTGGTGGGCGTTCTGGCGCACTATGGCTGCCGTCGCATCATCCAAGTGGATGCTGCACATTGGTGGTGGTTGAGGAGATTCCCCCTTCCATGTGAAGCGCTTTGAGTGCCCAGAAAAGCGCTATATAAATGTAATGAATTAATTAATTAATTAATTTCTTTCAGGATTCTTTAATGAATAGAAAGTACAAGAAAACAGCATTCTTTTGAAATATAAATCTTTACTGTCACTTTTGAACTATTTAAAATATTTGTGCTGAAAAAAATTATTAATTTAAAAAAAAAATCCTATTGACCCCAAACTTTTGAGTATGATGTTAGCATGATGCTAACAACGACACAAGAAAAATGACATTACAAAGATACTGGTCCATGTTAATGGTTCAGTTTAATGGTTCATGTTAAACTAAATGATTTCATTTTTCAGTATTGAATAAAATATATTCTTAATTGAAAAAATATTTATTCATCATTCATCTTGGATGAAAATATTGTCTGAGATGGTTGCAGTGCATTCTGGGATAGCCTTAAAACCCCTTTACACTGTGCGGGATGCGATAAAGCGACGAACAGTGCTTTCACACCGAACGCGAAGCGATCGATCGCCTACGGCTAATTCACACCTGCACAATAGCTGACGGAGAATGCATTTTTCCTTGTGTATGCATCTTGTAGTTTTTTCCATTTGGTTTTAACCTCGTCCACTGCACAAAAACAACAGTAAATTAAGATAAATAAAGTTTGGCACTACACCAGAAACACAAACTATAAGAGTATATATAACTATAAATGAGACCTTACAAGAATTCTTTTGACCAAATTCATCTTAAATATAATCGCATCTAGGTAGCCGGGTGCATTAGCTACAATTAGCATCAAATTACATGTCAGAATTTATAAGATTATTACGGTTTTATCTCAAAACCCATCATAACAGACTTGTAATAACTGCCGATCGCGATCTAAAGTGGATTTTGATTATATAATGGACAGACATGCATTATTTGTAGTGTTTTATAATAGACTGAATGCTACACCTTCTTAGCATTTCCCATGTAAACACCCTTTACTGTTATAAAATACCCCGAGCCTCATGATATGATCAATTATGCGTAATATGATCGACAGGTTGCGTTTTTAGACATGTGAAAGACCCCTAAGGCAGCAGCCTTCGCAGTGGGAGAACAAGCTCTTATAGGCAGCTTACTAGGGTTTGGAACAGAGCTGTACTTCTCTTCTCTTACCATAATGAATGAATATCCGGTCCAGAGGCTTCTCCAGTTTGGTGGACAAAGTGGTGTAGACAAGTCTTGACTGTGTATTGCAATGGCTGGCGATGAAGCATCACACACCACACACCTGCTGATGTGTGTCTGAATTTCCATTCCTTTTATAGGCGCCATAGAAATCGAGGCGGTTGTAGACAGCCAATAGGATTTTTCGTTGCGGCTGGAGTAATTACAGGAGTGCATATCACAGGAAGAGAACGGGATGGTGCTGAACATGGGTACACATGAACCTGCCTGGCCTGGTGAAAACACACACACAAAAATAAGTTTGAATATGTCACATGTCAATATGCTGTGTTGATATCAGGGTTTTTATAGTTAAATAAAACCGTGAAAAATATTTGTTGCTTAAATTAAAAATAAAAGTTTCATCTCAAATAAAACAAAAAAAGCAAACTTATTTTATTTCAGCTAGTTGCCAAAGCAATATTTTTTTTGATGTACTGAACTACTATATATATAGACATTTAAAACAATAACAAATAAAAATGACTAAAACGGACTAAAATTAAAATGAAAACAAAATACAAAAATAAAAAATCCCAAAAAATCTCAGTGATACTAAAATAACTAAAATTCTCTGTTCCAGAACCTAATCAACATTTAAATGGAATCACAGGCACTTTTGAGTGTGACCGTGTGTATTAGCCACATACCCAGGTCTTGTGTGTGTCCTCTCTTCTGACCCTGCATATATAGCAGGCTATAGCCGGTCCATAACACGGTTAGGCCCAGGGGACAAGTTGGCACAATCTCAGACTGGCTGTGCATCACCAAAAGGAAGCCTGAGGAAAACATCTCATTGTTTCCAGGAAGACCCTGATCACCATCTGGTCCCGGGGGTCCTGAGATAGATAAAGTGATGGACAAATGGTTGGGTTGATAATAACTGGCTCGATGTGAGTCGCTCTGGATAAAAACATCTGCTAAATGAATGTCAGTGCAGTTTGATGAATGATTGGATAGAAGGAGGAAAGAAGATATAACAGTGTCAGGCCTAGTTGAGTCAGTAAACACTCTAAGTTGTTAACGATACACAATTGCATACCCTGCGAGCCTGTGGGTCCTCTTACGCCTTCATATCCAGGGTTTCCAGAAGGCCCGTCTGGTCCTAGTGGCCCAGGAGGTCCAGGGAAGCCATCAGCTCCCATTGGTCCCTTCACACCTGAGCAGAAACTACACTGTCAACTCTACTAGAGTGACAACCTGTGATTTTACGGTACAATCAGGATGTTGATTGTTTATAAAAGCAAGAAAATATAGTTGGTATATATATATAAATTAAAGTATGGACTACTTTAATAAAGAATCTATGGTGCTTTTTTTGCAAATATAATTTAGCAATATAGTCTTGGCATTCAAGAATTAGTGTAGTGTTAGTAATATTTATATACTATTATAGTATTTATTAATATGTTGAATTGGACTTTTTTTTATATTTCAGTGTTTTATTTTTATTTTTAATAATTTAGTTTTAAATATAGCTTTAATTCGGTTTTCATTTTTTTATGTTTTAGTAATTTTAATACTTTAACTTAAGGTTATTTATTTCAGTTAGTTGCCAAGGAAACATTTTAAGTTTACGTTTTTTATATTTTATTTTAACTTAGAGCTGCAGTCCTTAACTTTTTTGGTGTTAAAAATATAAAAAAAATTATATACTAAGCGAGTACATCATGAATCCGTTTTTCAAACCGTGTTTTTGTCTTATCCTAAATCACTACGGTACACCTTTAATAAGTGCTTATATTCGGACTATTTTAAACTGGTATGGGTCGTACCGCTGTGGAGTAGCACAGTACCTGTGTGTGAGTCGTCATAGACATAAACAGAGAGAAGTAGCTCTTGTTCTTCCGCAAGACGGCATGCAGTTCTGTTTATTAACCGCTAGAGCGCCAAAAGTTACAGACTGCAGCTGATTTAATTAAGTGACTTAGTTTAACTTAACAATAACAACACTGCCAAGAATAGGAGATACTTCATGATCAAATGAATCCTGGTTACAAATATACGCCCTGCTGTTGAATTGAGTTGTACCTTTCGGTCCCTCACTGCCATTAGGTCCGTCTTCTCCATCTTCACCATATGGGCCAGATGGACCACGAGCACCAGGAAGGCCCTGAGAAGGATGACAAGGATTAGGACGTCTGACATCGCCAGGCTCTCCTTTTAGACCTACAAATACAAAGGGAGAGAGATTGAAAGGGGTATACATTATAAATATATTGATTTATAAGATGGCCAACTTGATGATCTGAAGGCTCCACTGACCTGTGTCCCCTTTCTCTCCTTTTGCACCACAGGGTCCTGAGGGTCCACAATCACCCATGGGGCCACAGGGTCCGGGAAGGCCCATAAGCCCACATTGCCCTCTTTCACCTTTGCAATAATAATAATAGAAAAACCTAAATCACAAAACTGCTGGAAAGCATATAGTTTCACAAAAAGTGCATGTATACTGACACTTAAGGTTGATTATTTTACCTTTTGGACCTCCTGGGCCCTGACACCCTGGCAGGCCGTTGGGCCCAGGGCATCCTTTTTTTCCTTTACATCCTGGTGATCCAGGAACACCTGGGACACCACAATCACCACTCACTGCGAAGACATTGCCTGGATTTCCCATCTCTCCCATGGGCCCTGGAACAGCAAAACACAGACCATGCACATAATACATAATCTTATACATAAACACATACTGCCATCCACCTTAGCTCTCATGTAAACTCTTCTCCAAATGACCACACACACCTGGAGGTCCATCTAGCCCAGGGAAACCCTGTCCTCCAAAAGATCCAGGTTTAAGAATCTTACATTCTTCACCACGAAATCCAGGAGGACCCATTGGACCAGAATCACCTATTCAAAAAAGGAGAAAGACAACAGTGAAGTTTAAAGTCATTTCTGCACCTGAAAATTGTGAATTTTCACTGGTATCTAAAATTATTGGTGTTATGATTGCAAAAATAGTTGGTAAAAAAAATACTTATGTCCGGTACATTTTCTTAAGTCACCGGCCATTGGCAGTTGTGGCAAAAAGTAAATTTTAGGCCCTGTGTATAACTATTTGTCGAGGCCTTGCTCTGGAGGCATTCATATACATATATATTTGCCCTTGTGATGTCACAAATCCCGTAATATCCAAACGAGTCATTTTTGGAGCTTGATTAAATAAAGGCTTTGTTTATATTGAGGAGGACGCTTTAAGCTATGAAACTCGCAGGATGTTTCAATGGTACAAATACCTCTTTTGTGTCAAAAGATGTCATGACCCCTTCAACAAATTGAACCTCATTGTAAAGTGTTACCTATTTATTTCATAAAAAATAACACCGTTCATTTTGAGAAGTATTATTAAAATTTAAAATAAAATTTTTCTATTTGAATTTTTTCCTGAAATGCAAAGCAAAATTCGAAAATTTCAGCATCATTACTCCACTCTTCAGGTATGATCCTTCAGAAATCATCATAATATGCTGACTTGCTGCTCAAGAAACATTTCTTATTATTATCAGTGATACATTTTCTGCTTAACATTTTTGTGGAAACTTGTCACGGTTAATAGGTTGAATAGAATTTTGAGTCATGTACCTTGGCATCCCGGTTGTCCTTTTGGACCTTGATCACCATTTTTTGATATCCCATACAACCCTGGGTCTCCTGGATCCCCCTTGTCTCCAGTCAGTCCTTGATTGCCTCTATCACCTTTTAAACCCAGCCCTAAAGCACAACGAAAGAGAGAGGGGGTGAGAGGGATGGCAACCAGGCAATAACAAAACAAGCTTCTGACAGCACATGTATCTCACCTCGAGATCCAATCTCACCCTTGACACCCTTCAGGCCATCTAGCCCATGGAGTCCTGGGAGCCCTGGAGATCCTGTAAGTGATAAATTAATTATCAAAAAAAGTCACGTTTTCAAGTTTAAAATGTATACATGATTGTTCTATTTTTTAAATTAATGGCAGCATCACTTTGTTTGTACATAGCATACGTATTCAAACCTCTAAGGCCAGGGCATCCCATGCTTCCTTTAGGGCCTGGTGGACCTGAAGGCCCTAGAACACCCTCTGGACCATGTCTTCCACACTGACCTGGGGGCCCAACCACACCTGTAAAACAGAAAGGACACTATTTGAGAACACAGCAAAACTTAATATGGTGCATGACATTGGAATTGAGATGATGTAGGCTTGCTGCGGTAGTCATAGTTACCGGTGTCACACAGTGTTCGGCCAGTTGGACAACGAACTCTACAATTTTAAACTGAAAGCATCTGCTCTGCTCTAGAGTCACAGCACAGTCAGCAGGAGTTAGATTTCAATTAAAAGTGGCGGAGGATTTGGTCACTGTCTCTCCTAAACCCCTGTGTTATCGGTAATACCTTTGTTATCACAAGTTTATTTACCGGTGGGGAGATTTCCTCATCTTGACATCCCTAGTCACAAGTGCACATGTATCCACTATTTTAGAGCCAGATTGATCCGTTTAACAATGGGTATTTTACCAGGAGGTCCATAATGGCCAAGGTTCCCAGGTGGTCCAGGTGGACCACAGTTTCCATAAGGCCCTTGTGGTCCAGGGTCACCAAGGTCTCCTATGTCACCGGGGGGAGCTATTGGGGAGAAAAGAGATGTTTCTATAGCTCAGAACTCATTTTTTTCAATGCATTTCTGTATTATAGAAATATATATTATTTACAAGAAGGGTTAATTATATGAAGTAAACGTTAAGAAAACCATACCTGACACTCCTTTTTCTCCATAGGGCCCTCTCTCACCTGTTGGTCCTGGCTCACCAATAGACTCGCCTTTGTCACCTATTCAACACAGTACAAGGAGGTTTTGCAATAGATCTCATTTCACATGAGGCTTAAAATGTGCAGATTTAATATGTAATGATTGTGTAGTGTTTGTAAGGGTTGTAGCTTTGAAAACATACATTACTGTTCTAAGGTTTGGGGTCAGTACGATTTTATCATATCGTAAGAAAAATAAATACTTTTATCCACCAACAATGCATTTATTTGATACAAAAGAAATCTATTTTAAATAAATGCTTTTAGCTTTCTAATCAAATAATCCTAAAAAAGTCACCTGGTTTCTACTATTAAGCAGCACAACTGTTTTCAAAATTGCAGCAAATCAGCATATTTATTATGATTTCTGAAAGATCATGTGACACTGAAGCCTGGAGTAATGGTGCTGACAATCCAGCACTGATCACAGGAATAAGTTATATTTTAATATATATTCAATTTATTCAAATATATACAGCCTAGATGAGCATAAGACACTTCTTTCGAAAACATTTAACAAAATCTTACCAACCCCAAACTTTTGAAGGGTAGTGTTGGTTTGTGTTTGCAAGGTTTCAAGCATTGTTTTTTACCTTTAGGACCATCAAACCCAGGGAAACCAGGGGTTCCTGCCATACCAGTCAATCCAGGATCACCCTACAAACGAACGTGTTAATGACTAAATCCTACATATATGGTCACAGACAGTTTCTCTACACAACTGTTTATGTACACTATCTGTGTTTGGATCAAAGACAATCAAACCAACAACAAAACTCAAATAATTTGGCAAGAATTAAAAAATAAGATTCATATAAATAAAAGACCATCCACTCACTGAATCACCATTTTCCCCTGGGAATCCCATAATTCCCTTCGGTCCAGGTCGCCCACTTGTGCCAGGCTCACCGGGAGACCCAGGAATGCCTGGCGGTCCACACAAGCCACTTTCAAAGCCAGGAGGACCATTAAGTCCCGGATACCCTGGTGGTCCAGGCGGACCTGGGTCACCCTTATTACCTTAGAATTAAGAAGTAGAAACTACGTGATCTGCAAGGTCTTTTCTATCAAAGTTAGAAACCAACATACTGTAGGATCTTAGGCCCTGTTTACACCTGGTATTAAGATGTTTTTTGGTCCATCGGATCACAAGTGGACGACGCTAAATACAGGTGTAAACGGCTCTAAAACGTTTTGAGCTTGTCCACTTTCGACCACTTTCAGAGGTAGTCGAAAATGTATTCGACCGGATTGCTTTCATAGTGCAAACGCTCATGTGGTTAAATGCGTTGGAACAGCCACAAAACATCGCTTACTCACCGCATACTGACTTAATGCATAAACATTATGGAAAGCGCTCTAGTCAGACGGGTTTTAAACTTTGTCAGCTGAAGACCCAAGTTTAGTTTGGAGACAAAAATGTATCAAGCACAATGTTCTCTCACCATTCCTGATTTCAAACTGTCCAATTACATGACATTACGTGTTATAGGGTTTTAATGTCAGAGCAAAAACTAAAGCTGCTGCTCCGTATGTTTTCCCGTCACCTCTGGTCACGTTCATATGTAAATTGCGTGCTCTTATTTTGTCCATTAGATCCAAAGATCTTTAAAAAAATGCATACATTTACCCACCCCTAGACCCTCCCCTCGAAGAAATCAGGACAGAAGAGTTTGAAAGTGGACAAAAGAGATGGATTAAAACACATGGGGTACATGGGTATGTGTCTCCCTTGTCCCTCGTTTAGTGATCTGAATCATCTGATCGACCAAAACGCATCTTAATACCAGGTGTAAGCAGGGTCTGAGTATCTGTTACAGATTTACCCCTTTCTCCACTGAAACCATTCTCCCCATGAGGTCCAGGTGGTCCTACCCGGCCTTTGACTGGCACTGAAATCATGTCTCCTGGAGGTCCAGGTGGCCCAATGCATCCTGTAAAAAAAAAAAGTAGTACCTTTAACTGCCATCATCACATTAGACCCGACCTAAAGTATGACAATATGGTATTTCACACTGTTTTGAAGTACCTTTCTGGCCCTTGGTTCCACTCCCCCCTGGGCAACCTGGACATCCATTCAGACCCCTAAGGCCTTTTTGTCCAAGAGCCCCTAAAGGGCCCGTCTGCCCTGTGTTCCCAGCACAGCCATCTTGACCAGGAAATCCAGGCAAACCTGAGATGTAATATGACAGGTGAGAATCATGTGTCCCACTGACACCTTTGTTTTTTAACTCTAAATATCTAAAGCACACACATTTAAAAGGAAATTTTATATATTTGATATATTACAAAGAAATTGGCCTAACACATTTTAGCGTTGAAGCTAATGTCAACATAAATGTAATACACTAACGTTCAAAAGTTTGGGGTCAGCAAGACTTTCTTTTTTTTATACTTTTATTTTGACAAGGATGCATCAAATTGATCAAAAGTGACAATAAAGACAATAATGTTACAAAATATTAAAATTTTAAATAAATGCAGTTCTACTGTATGGTAGTATATATATATATATATAGAACATTGATAGTAATATCCATCTTAACAGTAAATTGTTTCAGGCAACCAAAACATTACGAACCACAGTTAGGCATTTGTTTAAATAAGGTCACATAACAGGGTACATTCATTGAATAAACTCCCTAAAGCACATCAAGACCAGTGGAAAGACTCTTTACCCTTTGGTCCAGTAAATCCAGGATTTCCACTGTCCCCTTTGAGTCCTGAAGGTCCCTGAAGGCCTGTATATCCTTGAATGCCTGGGAAACCAGGCTTACCAGGGTCTCCTTTAACTCCAAAGCCTACAGGTCCCGGCTCCCCAAGTGATCCTTTCTCTCCAGGGGTGCCTAACACAGAAAAGTGACATTATTGTTATTAGAACAATCCAAACAAGCTTCTGTCGATACAGTGGTCTCTACTGACCTCTCTGTCCACTAAAGCCTGGTGGTCCTGTCTTGCCAGGTGGACCAGCTTGTCCTTTGTCACATTGTTCTGGTCTCCCACCTGGGAAACCAGGTGCCCCTTGTTTACCATCCTCTCCTTCTTCCCCTTTTCTTCCAGGAAGTCCAGGAACACCTGATGTACCTGCAGAAAAAGTTATTTAATATTGACTATATTATTAGTTAATGAACCGGACTATTGTGAACTCATGACTAACAACTAACTAGACTGTGCAAACATCACAAAACATCTTACATCTTCAAAACAGTGACCTTTACTATTTTTTTCTTTATATCATAATCATATTCCTGTTCGCCAGATATTATTTAACTGTCAATGCAGTACCTTGCAATCCAATTGGTCCAGGAGGTCCAGGTACACCTTTAGGGCCCGTCCTTCCCTGAACCCCAAAGGGGCCCATCGGTCCTGGGGCCCCAATAACATTGTCTCCAAAAGACCCTTTCAGACCCTGGGGTCCACGAAATCCAGGTGTGCCAGGTGAGCCGCTTATACCGTTGCCGTCGGGGCCAGTGTCACCTGGATCTCCTAAATATCCATCTGGACCTGCGGATGATATGGCAGAGATATTAGTTTGATAAAACTTTTCTAATGGATGCGTTCTAGTCAAGCTGATACTGTGGAAATATCATGCAGATATAGAATAATTAATAAACGCATTTTGAATTAGGGGTTGACCTAGTCGACATCGACTAGTCGCTGATGACGTCATTAATGAACAAATAAGCCTGAACCTCGAGCTGACACTCGAGCGCGGGTTGCCTTGTGCACAGCTATGGTTGATATACAGTCGTGCTCAGAATTAATGGCACCCTTGGTAAATATGATCAAAACTGGCTGTAAAAAATAAATCTGGATCGTTTATCCTTTTGATCTTTCATTCCAAAAATTGCCAAAAAACTAACCTTTCATTGAAGTAAAATAATTGAAAGGGGGGTGGGGGGGGGGGGTCACATTATGAAATAATTGTTTTTCTCCAAAACACGTTGGCCAGAATTATTGGCACCCCTAGACTTTTTACAAATAAAATATCTCTGAAGTATATTCCCATTAATGTTTACCTTTTTTTTAGCACACCAGGGTGACTAGGAACATGAAATTGTCTAGCTATGACTTCTTGTTTCACAGGAGTTTAAATATGAGGAAACACAAATGCCAAATTCCCTTAATCATCCATCACAATGAGTAAAACCAAAGAATATAGTTCTGATGTGCAACAAAAGATTGTTGAGCATCACAAAATAGAAAGTGGCTGTAAGAAAATAGATAAAGAATTGAAAATCCCCATTTTGACCATCAGGGCAATAATTAGCAACTAGAAAAAGTTCGTCGAGACAAACTTTAAGTTGGCTTGTGAAAGTTTGGACCGCAAAGTTTGAAGAAGTATAAAGTAGTTTGAAGTTTAAATTAGTTTAAAGTTTAAATTAGTTTAAAGTTTAAAGTAGTTTAAATTAATTTAAAGTTTAAATAAGTTTGAATTTTAAAGTAGTTTGAAGTTTAAATTAGTTTAAATAAGTTTAAAGTAGTTTAAAGTTTTAAATAGTTTAAAGTTCAAAGTAGTTTAAAGGTTAAAGTATAGTTTCAAGTAATTAAATGTTGCTAGGATGTTTCTAGTGGGTTGCTAAGGTGTTGTGGGTGGTTGCTAGGTGGTTTCTAAGGTATTTTGAGTGGTTGCTAGGGTGTTCTGGGTGGTTGCTAGGGTGTTCTAGGGAATTTTAGGTGGTTGCTATGGTGTTGCTAGGGTGTTTTAAGGCATTTTGGGTGGTTGCTAGGGTGTTGTTAGGGTGTTCTAAGGTATTTTGGGTGGTTGCTATGGTGTTGCTATGGTATTCTAAGGTATTTTGGGTGGTTGCTAGGGTGTTGCTAGGGTGTTCTAAGGTATTTTTGGTGGTTGCTAGGGTGTTCTGGGTGGTTGCTAGGGTGTTCTAAGGTATTTTTGGGTGGTTGCTAGGGTGTTCTGGGTGGTTGCTATGGTGTTGCTATGGTGTTCTAAGGTATTTTGGGTGGTTGCTAGGGTGTTGCTAGGATGTTCTGAGGTATTTTGGGTGGTTGCTAGGGTGTTGCTAGGATGTTCTGAGGTATTTTGGGTGGTTGCTAGGGTGTTGCTAGGGTGTTCTAAGGTATTTTTGGTGGTTGCTAGGGTGTTGCTAGGGTGTTCTAAGTTATTTTGGGTGGTTGCTAGGGTGTTCTAAGGTATTTTGGGTGGTTGCTAGGGTGTTGCTAGGGTGTTCTAAGGTATTTTGGGTGGTTGATAGGGTGTTCTAAGGTATTTTGGGTGGTTGCTAGGGTGTTGCTAGGGTGTTCTAAGGTATTTTTGGTGGTTGCTAGGGTGTTCTGGGTGGTTGCTAGGGTGTTCTAAGGTATTTTGGGTGGTTGCTAGGGTGTTCTGGGTGGTTGCTATGGTGTTCTAAGGTATTTTGGGTGGTTGCTAGGGTGTTGCTAGGATGTTCTGAGGTATTTCGGGTGGTTGCTAGGGTGTTGCTAGGGTGTTCTAAGGTATTTTTGGTGGTTGCTAGGGTGTTGCTAGGGTGTTCCAAGGTATTTTGGGTGGTTGCTATGGTGTTGCTAGGGTGTTCTAAGGTATTTTGGGTGGTTGCTAGGGTGTTGCTAGGGTGTTATAAGGCATTTTGGGTGGTTGCTAGGGTGTTCTAAGGTATTTTGGGTGGTTGCTAGGGTGTTCTGGGTGGTTGCTAGGGTGTTTCTAAGGTATATTATGTGGTTGCTAGGGTGTTCTAAGGTATTGTGGGTGGTTGCTATGGTGTTGCTAGGGTGTTCTAAGGTATTTCAGTTGGTTTCTAGGGTGTTCTGGGTGGTTGCTATGCAGTTGCTAGAGTGTTCTGGGTGTTTTCTATGGTGAACTATTTATGAGTTTAAAAGTTCATAAGTGTATGAATTCATGAGAGTTCATACGTGTATGAATTAATGCATTTATAAGTTCATGAGTTTATAAGTGTATGAATTTATGAGTTTAGAGTTTATAAGTTTAAATGAGTAAGAGTTCAGAGTTTATTAATTTATGAGTTTGAGTTCATAAGTGTATGAATTCATGAGTTTATAAGTGTATGAGTTTATAAGTGTACGAGTTTATGAGTTTAAAGTTTAAATTAGTTTGAAGTTTAAAGTTTAAATAAGTTTGAAGTTTAAAGTTTAAATAAGTTTGAAGTTTAATTTAGTTTGAAGTTTAATTTAGTTTAAAGTAGATAGATAGATAGATGGATAAGTGTCATAGATAGATGAGTTTATTAGTTTGAATGAGTCTCATTGGCTCATATAGTATATAGAATGGCAGTTTGATTCAGTCTAGGGTTTCAAGGGATTTACATTTGAATTTTTGACAGTTGGGGAGTTTGAAAATCTGAAGATTCCGCAATGTTAAGTCAATGGGAGTTTTTTCCGAGTTTGATCGTAGTTTTTAGGAAAACCGTAAGTCCGATCAGTTAGAAAAGATATAGCACACCGAGTCAGAACAGTTTGAGTGTCCGTGCCGAGTTTGGAGTATGTGGAGTTAAAGCTCTAGGAGGAGATAGAGTTGTAAATTTTAGTCTCAGAAAAAGAATAATAATAACTAGAATGTACATTTCCAGAAGAAAATGTGAAGTGGTGCTTGCAGTGGCAAAACTCGCCGCTCGGTTGCTAGGGTGTTGTTGGAGTTTGCTATGATGATGCAAGGCAGTTGCTAGGGTGTTCTGGGTGGTTGCTAGGTGGTTGCTAGGGTGTTCTGAGTGGTTGCTAGGGTGTTGCTAGGTGGTTGCTAGGGTATTCTGGGTGGTTGCTAGGGTGTTGCTAGGCGGTTGCTAGGGTGTTCTGGGTGGTTGCTAGGGTGTTGCTAGGTGGTTGCTAGGGTGTTCTGAGTGGTTGCTAGGGTGTTCTGGGTGGTTGCTAGGGTATTCTGGGTGGTTGCTAGGGTATTCTGGGTGGTTGCTAGGGTGTTGCTAGGCGGTTGCTAGGGTGTTCTGGGTGGTTGCTAGGGTGTTGCTAGGCGGTTGCTAGGGTGTTCTGAGTGGTTGCTAGGGTGTTGCTAGGTGGTTGCTAGGGTATTCTGGGTGGTTGCTAGGGTGTTGCTAGGTGGTTGCTAGGGTGTTCTGTGCGGTTGCTAGGCGGTTGCTAGGGTATTCTGGGTGGTTGCTATGGTGTTGCTAGGCGGTTGCTAGGGTGTTTTGAGTGGTTGCTAGGCGGTTGCTAGGGTGTTCTGGGTGGTTGCTAGGGTGTTGCTAGGCGGTTGCTAGGGTGTTCTGGGTGGTTGCTAGGGCGTTGCTAGGGTGTTCTGGGTGGTTGCTAGGGTGTTCTGGGTGGTTGCTAGGGTGTTGCTAGGTGGTTGCTAGGGTGTTTTGAGTGGTTGCTAGGCGGTTGCTAGGGTGTTCTGGGTGGTTGCTAGGGTGTTGCTAGGCGGTTGCTAGGGTGTTCTGGGTGGTTGCTAGGGCGTTGCTAGGCAGTTGCTAGGGTGTTCTGGGTGGTTGCTAGGGTGTTGCTAGGGTAATTTGGGTGGTTGCTATGGTGTTACTAGGTGGTTGGTAGTTGTCAAAGATGGTTACTGTTGAGTTTGTAGCATTTTATTGGCATGATTTAGCACTTAGCTAATCAATATTAGCATGTAGCTATTCACTGCTAGTATGTGTAGCATGTAGCAAGTCCTGTTTGCTAGCATGAGTCAAAAGACCCAACCCCCATCTCTATACGATGTTCTGATGCAGAGATATTGGTCTTGCAAAACGGTTGCTAGGGTACTCTGTTTGGTTGCTAGGGAGTGGCTTGGCAGCTGCCAATCATGAAGCTCCAAAGTCAATGTGAATGTATAAACCAACCCCCATCTCTATACGATGTTCTGATGCAGAGATATTGGTCTTGCAAAATGGTTGCTAGGGTACTCTGTTTGGTTGCTAGGGAGTGGCTTGGCAGTTGCCAATCATGAAACTCCAAAGGCTTCTTGTCACTATGAATGATATAAACCAACTCCCACGCCTTTGTGACATTCAGAATGGAAGATATCCCTCATTGGATTTTGGTTGCTAAGGTGCTCGACAATGGTTGCTAGGGCGTGGCTAGGAAGTGTTGAGGTGATTCATGATTGGCTGTTTGCTGCCCCGAGTCAAACGAGACCACCCTCATGTTTCTATGACAATTCAGTCCAGAGATATCCCTTCGATCTCTTTCAATGGAAGTCTATGGGAGTTGTTGCTAAGGTGCTCTAAATGGTTGCTAGGGCGTGGCTTGATAGCTTCACAATGATCCTGAGAGACTGATTGGTTGTCTGAGTAAAATGAGCCCGCCCCCTTGTCTCTATGACACTGTGATCCAGAGTTATGTTCAATATAAAAGCGGTTTCTATGGTGTAGGACGGCCCATTTCATGGGCCGTCCTACACCATAGTAAGTCAATGGGGAAACTTTGGGCAGCTCCTGCCCCCCAGGGGTGCAACTTTTACCCCATTGTGTGGTATGTTCTTACAGAGTCTGTCAGCCTCTTCAAATGTGGCAAATTTCACGTTTCTGCGAAATTCACACTCTGAGCTATGACTCGTCAAAGTTTTTCGCAATGTTAAGTCTATGGGATTTTTTTGGGCCGTTTTTCGCCCCTGGGGCGACCATCGTACCCCCGATCTCTTAGAAAAGTCATAGCACACCATTCCCGAACAGGCCGCACGTTTTGACACCTCATTCATGGGTCTGTGACAAAAACTGCGGGAGGAGTAGCGCGTCAAAAAGTGGCCAGAAGAATAATAATAAGAAGAATAATAATAAGTATGTGAGATAACAATAGTGTTGCTTCGCCATAGGCAAGCACCACTAATAATAATAATAAGTTTAAATAGCATTTCAGTAAGTTGGCTCTCCAAGCCAACTTAATAAGAAGTTCCAATCAACTAAAGATGTGACAAATCTGCCAGGAAGAGGACCTGTGTCTATATTGTCTTAATGCACGGTGAGGATGAAAGTTTGAGTGGCCAAAGACTCTTCAAGGATCACAGATGGAGAATTGCAGAGATTAGTTGAGTCTAGGGGTCAGAAAACCTGGGGGAAAAAAACCCCCAAAAAAACCTACATCACCACATGTTGTTTGGGAGGGTTTCAAGAAAAATCCTCCTCGCTCATCCAAAAACAAACTCCAGCATATTCAGTTGTCAGACACGGCTGGAACTTCAAACGGCACAGGGTTCTGTGGTCAGATGAAACTAAAAAAGAGCTTTTTGGCAGCAAACACGCTAGATGGGTTTGGTGCACACAAGGTTAAAAAGTACCCCATGTGTACAATTTAATATACCGTTGGATCTATAATGTTGTGGGCATATTTTTCTGCTGGAGGTCCTGGACTTCTTGTTCAGATACATGGCATCGTGGATTCTATCAAATATCAACAGATAAATCAAAACCTGACGCCTTCTGCTAGAAATCTTATAATGGGCCGTGGTTGGATCTTCCATCAGGACAGTGATCCAAAACAAACATCAAAATCAACACAAAAATTTGTTACAGAGCACAAAATGAAGCCTCTGCCATGACCTGACCTGACGAGTGGAGTGAACTGAAGAGAAGCACCAACATGGATCTGGGAATCTGAAGGACCTGGAGAGATTCTGTATGGAGGAATGGTCTCTGATCTCTTGTCAGTTGTTCTCCAAACTCATCAGGCATTATAGGAGAAAACTCAGAGCTGTTATCTTGGCAAAAGGAGATTGCAAAAAGTATTTAAAGCTGCAGTCCGTAGCTTTTTTGGGGTTGAAAATTATCCAAAATACATATTTGAGAAAATACATAACCAGCCAGTGTTCAAAACTATCTGCTTGCCTTAGCTCGATTCAAAGTGGTAAGCTTGTAATAATGTTTTTAATTCCAGTGGTACTGGTGGATTTCCGCGGGAGATTCGAGCATGTCTTTGCGTCATTACGTCACATCTGTACACATAAAGAAGAGTCTCGGCTAGTATAAGCTATATTGCGTGTGAGGATGCTGGAGGTGGAGATTTATAGCCTTTTCTCACAGCACTTGATATAATTAAACTTATCAATTTGATGGCGGATGCAGAAAGGTTCAAACAACAATCACCGGTGACAACTGGAGATTCACCCGCTGTAACATGCAAAAGACTTCGTTCGGACTTCGGAGTGGCTACAGAAAAAAAGAGACTGCAACCGGCCCATGCGAAAACAAGGATAATATCGGAAGAACATTACATGTAGTCACGCAATGCTGACGTTGTTAACATGAACAATTTGAGAACAAAGTATAATTTGCACGGTTTTGCGTGATATGATAAGCGATTTTTAGATTTAATCAGCGCGATTTACTGCAATGTCAGAACCAGAACAAAAGTGGATGTTACTTGTTCAGATGACATTTTCTGGTGAAAATTATTATGTTGGTCATACTTCCAAAAAGAATAATCTGTGATTCTGAATGGCAGTATCCACACCGGCACGGTGACTGACAGCTGCACACTCTCCTCAAACATTGTGTTCATTCGCGCTGTGCCGTGTCAAAGTACAAATCACGGCACAGCGCTTGACAGCTTGATAAAATAAGTTGATAATTCCACAAATAACTGCAATTGCAGATTTCGAACAGAGATGGCGACAAAGAGGAAAAACTGCGGACTGCAGCTTTAATAAAAGGGTGCCAATAATTGTGGCCAACGTGTTTGGGAGAAAAAACATTTATTTCATTATTTGATCCCCCCCCCCCCCCCCCCACACTTTCAATTCCTTTACTTCAATGAAAGGTTTGATTTTTGGCAATTTTTTTGAATGAAAGATCAAAAGGATAAACGATGCAGATTTATTTTTTACTGCCAGTTTTGATCATATTTACCAAGGGGTGCCATTAATTCTGAGCACGACTGTATATCAATTTTGAGCATTCAGATGGTAAAATCAAACATATCTAGTGGAGCGCTCTCTGAATATGCATTTATTTGTTATTTTAACTGTTGGAAACTGAACGTAAAAGTGTATTTCAAAGATTTCTTATCCTGTTGCCTATTATCTTCTTACTATCTATTGCCATGATCAGCGACTAGCCAACGTCGAGCTTAAAGTGTGATGGCAGAGCATTAAAGTCGACTAGTCCTATGTTGAATAGAATCAAAGAGGGTTTATTTAAGTAATGAATAATCAAGTAATGCATAATTATGCATAAAGTTCAACAAAAATGGAAATGCATCAAAACCTCAAACATGTGACTAGCTCTCAAATTATAGTTATAATCTCTACCTTTCAGTCCGCTACACCCACAATCGCCAGGGTCTCCGTTCCCTCCTTTGGGACCATCTGGTCCATTTTTTCCTATGCATCCTGGATTTCCAAGCCTACCTTTCCCACCTGGAAGGAAAAATTAAGGTTTTGGGCATAAACTGTATTTGGTCATTAATCAGTCATCTGAGCTGCCAAATTTATACTGCAATTTGAAGACATTCAACACTGTTACACAACAGAATAACTTCATTAGTCCAAAACATCAATAACTATGTCACTAAGTCTGAGTAATTCATGAATTAAGTTAAATTCTGTATTCACATTATGTCAGAACGGTTGTCTCATTGTCAGCTCCAGAATTACTGGCACCAAATAATGAGCAAAAGCGAGTATGTAAAATATAACATACAGGGAAACCTTTGAGGAAACTCTATACTTTTACATTATTGTTATTCCTACAGTTGCATCATTTCTTTTTTTTCCAACCATCCTTCTTTCTATGGAGGACCAGCTCTACCATATTTAAAAATAAATACAGAAATGTATTAATGCTCAATAAATAAATAAGCATAAAATTAATTGCCCCAAAAAATACAATAAACAAATAAATGTAGGTAGAAATTAAATTATACAGTGAGACATAAATGTATATATCTCTTAATTAGCTTCTTTATTTATTCACCTTTGTAATAATTACCTTATTTATTTATGTGCATGTTATAATATTTTTGTCTGTTTTATTCTTCCTTTGTATTTTTTTACCCTATTTATTTCTTCAATGCTATTTATTTCTGCCTGTCGTTTTTACATTTCTGTATGCATTTCTGCCTCATTATGCAAATGAGGAGGGGCTGTCTTAGGGGGTCAACTTCTGCCCATTGGTTGGTTAGCATTTTACTGCATCGGTCGAATCTACATGCCACCGGCCACAGTCACAACAAAGATGGCTACCAACGATGAAGTTGTCAGTGAGCTGAGGCATTTAGCAACTGTTTTTGAAAACAATGCTAACGTTATAAGTATTGACTTTATTATTTTTCGTTTGGACGCTCTGACAGAACGTGTGTTTCAGTTATCGGCACACATGGACACAGATGTCATGTCACAGCTGGCATCCAATGAGAGTTGCATTACTGCCACTACCACTAAACAATGCTTTATGGCGGGGAAAAGCCATGTAGATTCGACCAATGCAGTAAAATGCTAACCAACCAATGGGCAGAAGTTGACCCCCTAAGACAGCCCCGCCTCATTTGCATAATGAGGCAGAAATGCATACAGAAATGTAAAAACGACAGGCAGAAATAAATAGCATTTAAGAAATAAATAGGGTAAAAAAATACAAAGGAAGAATAAAACAGACAAAAATATTATAACATGCACATAAATAAATACTTACAAAAAATAAGTAATTAATAAATAAAGTTGAAGATTATAACGGAAAATAAATAAATAAGGTAATTATTACAAAGATGAATAAATAAAGAAGCTAATTAAAAGAGATATATACATTTATGTCTCACTGTATAATTTAATTTCTACCTACATTTATTTGTTTATTGTATTTTTGGGGGCAATTAATTGTATGCTTATTTATTTATTGAGCATTTATTTATTTCTGTATTTATTTTTAAATATGGTAGAGGTGGTCCTCCATATCTTTCACACTCTTTCATCAGAAAATCATTTAATATATGTTACCTTTACATCCAGGCATTCCTTTGCAACCAGGGGGTCCAATAATGCCAGGCCCACAGGGCAGTGTATCACCTACCAAGAATATCAACAATCAAGATGTGTGCTTTACAAATGACCATACTCTACCTTACCTACCTACCTTAAGCAAGCAAGCAACTTTATTTATATAGTACATTTTCAAACAAAAGACGTTGCCCCAAAGTGCTTTACAAAAATGATAACATTAAAATCATACAACAAAACAAACATAACTTATTCGTATTGTATTATACTTTATTGTCCCATTCCTGGGAAATTTGTCTTGGACAGCATGACACGGCCAGTGCACAACATCAATCACACACACAACACAATACATACAATAACATGCGATAATAATCAATAACACATTTCAATGAATTATATAAAAACTAGCAGCATACTACATCAATTAAAGGTATAGTTCACTTTAAAATTAATTTTTGATATGTTTTAGCTTACCTCAAGGGCATCCAAGATGTAGGTGTCTTTGTTTCCGCAGTAGTTTCAATTTTGATATTTTTAGGTCAAATCGTTCTTGTCTATCAGTCATATAATGCTGGTCTATGGTCACCGCCTCAAAGAGCATGCACAGAGAAGTCCAAATTAAACATGATTTAATGACTCGTAAATGTAAGTACACATTGATGGCCTAAGACACGAAACGAGCGGTTTGTGTGAGAAAACGAACAGTATTTATATCGTTTTTACCTCTTATAACGCACAGACCGAAGCGCCCGCACCCTCAGATCACTTGGACGTGGCTGTGTTTACAAGAGGTAAAAACGATATAAAGACTGTTCGTTTTCTCACACAAACCGCTCGTTTCGTGTCTTAGGCCATCAATGTGTACTTACATTTACGAGTCATTAAATCATGTTTAATTTGGACTTCTCTGTGCATGCTCTTTGAGGTGGTGACCATAGACCAGCATTATATGACTGACAGACAAGAACGGTTTGACCTAAAAATATCAAAATTGAAAATACTGCGGAAACAAAGACACCTACATCTTGGATGGCCTTGAGGTAAGCTAAAACATATCAAAAATGATTTACAAAGTGAACTATCCCTTTAAGTAAAAAAAAAAAACTCTATTTAAAATTTTGATCGCAGTTGGAACAAAAGAGTTTTATAACGATTAGACTTGCACATCAAGACCCTGAATCTTCTCCCTGATGGTAGCAAATTAAAATACTTGTGTAAAATATGTGTATCGGAGACTATTCTTTTAGCTTGCCTTGAAATAGATGCCTCGTACAGTTCTAATATGGTTCGTTTTTCCTCCCCCCCTATGATTTTTTGAGCTGTATGCAGCAGTCGTGCTAGTTTTGATTTAGATTGAACAGTCAGATTTCCATACCATGCAGTAATACAGTATCTAATTAAGCTTTCAAAAACAGACTGATAAAATAGAAACAAAATCCTCTGGTTTACTCCAAACATGTTTAACCTTCGCAAGTATAGCCTCTGCTGCAGTCTGGAACAAAGAGTGTCGTTGTGAGAAGACCAGCATAGTAAATTGTCCATATAAACTCCTAAGTATTTATATGAAGAAACCTGTTCAATAATATTACCATGTATTATTACAGGGCTATGGTCTCCCACAGACCTAGGATCAAAAATCATTTCAACAGTCTTCCTTTCATTTAAAACCAAGGAATTAGTGTCACACCAGCTGACAAATCTGTCAACATCAGATAAATAGTGCAAGGGATTTGTAATCTTGTTCAGTAAGCTCAATATTGCTGTGTCGTCAGAGAATTTGATGAAATATGTATCATCCTGACACACTCATTAGTGTATAGTGAAAATAAAAAGGGTGAGCTAACACAACCCTGCGGGGGCCCTATATTGGTAGTTTTCATCTCAGAATAGAAATTATTAACTCTGACTTGTTGTGTACGATTAGTTAAAAATGAATAAAACCACTTAATTCAGAATGGGTTCACTTCTGTCTCTATCAACTTCTCCATCAGTATATTGGGTTGAAGTGTATTAAAGCTGCCGTCGGCAACATTTTTTTTATTATCTTTATTTTTTATTATCTCTTATTTTTATTACCTTATATGCAAACTGAAATGGATCAAGGAATGATTTAACCTGATCCTTTAAGACAGTTACAACAAGTCTCTCAAGCATTTCATAACATTTGAAGTCAAAGCCACAAGTCTAAAATCACAATTTCCAACTGGACAAGTTTTCTTAGGAACAGGTATAATTATAGATTTCTTCCACAAAGATATATAATAATAATAATAATAATAATAATTCATTACATTTATATAGCGCTTTTCTTGGCACTCAAAGCGCTTCACATAGAAGGGGGGGATCTCCTATAAGATGGGATAATATGTGATTTCTGAAAGATAGGGCAAAATGCTGGAGTAAGTTCATTTGCACAAGTCTTTAGCAAAAAAGCTGAAATTCCATCAGGACCCATGGATTTTTTAGAACATATACCTCTAAATTGCGAGCTTACTCTATTAGTTGCTATCTCTAGCCTTTGACCTGGAGCTAAAGAAAAGCTAAAGAAAATAAATAAGACTTAAACTATCGATCAACGGAAGTTGTTTCTGAAACTGAATATATAACTTTAATATAACAAAGGTAATGGGCCACATTACGGGCAAAAAGGCAGTGCAACAGAAAGTCTTCTTGATAATTATTAACAAAGGAGACCGGAAACCCTGGAACAGGTTGCAGTGGTCAGCGGGCAGAGACCGTAGTAGAAGCAGATAGCGGGAGGCGGGATGCAGAGCCGGACCAGCCTTCAGCAGCAGGGTGACTGGGAAGAGCACAAGTCAAGCGAACATAGAGCCATTAACCAGAATAGACTCTACCAAGCAGGACTCCGACATCAGCTTGATACGAAATAATCTCGCAAGGAAGCAAACAGAGAGAAGGCTAGAAGTAGCAAACATAATCGGAGGAAAGGGAGGACAGGTGTGAGAGGATAAGCGCAATTGCTGGCAATAATGAGAAACAGCTGAAGTAGAGAAAAGGTGTGTGTGTGTGTGTGTGTGTGTGTGTGTGTGTGTGTGTGTGTGTGTGTGTGTGTGTGTGTAAATGAGTGCGCAAGAGACTATTTAGGAGAGAGAGAGAAAAGAGGAGGAGAGAAACCTGGTTCATGAAAATACTGGTATTCCAACCAGAGTATGCAGGTCAGATGGGGTAATCTCCGCTCCGTTTAGTGTTGGTATGGAGTACGACAAGGGGGGTTACTCTCCCCAGCCCTTTTCAACCTGTATATGAATGACTTATGAGAACAACTAAGAGGCGGCAAAACTGGTTGTATGATTGGTAACGCTCTAATAAATCATCTTATGTATGCCGATGATCTGGCTATTGTTTCTCCTAGCAGTGCTGGATTTCAACAGTTGCTGAATATATGTTCTGATTATGGGCTCAAATATGATGTGCAGTATAATGCTAAGAAGAGTGTTGCCATGATATGCAGAACAAGAGGGGACAAAGACCTCAACTTTCCAGTTTTTTATCTGTCAGGCAAAAAGTATTTGTAATAAAACAAAATACCTGGGGCACTTCCTCACAGATCAATTGTCTGATGATGATGACATGTATAGGCAGTGTCGTATGCTTTATGCTCAAGCTAACATGTTAGCAAGAAAATTCTGTATGTGTTCAAACCATGTTAAGATAAGGCTCTTTCAAGCCTACTGTACTCCACTCTACACTGCCCCATTGTGGGCCAAGTATTAAAAGACAACCATACATAAGCTTCAGGTGGCCTATAATGACTGTATGCGGATATTGCTTAAAAAGCAGGTGGTGTAGTGCAAGTGACTTGTTTTGTAAGGCAAGAGTCAACACTTTCCAGGCTATATTGAGAAATCTGATGTACAAATGTATTGGTCGACTGGATGGTTCTCAGAATGGTATTACTAAGCTACTGACAAATCCGAGTAAAAGTGTTGTGCGATACCAGTCACCTCTGTGGAAGCACTGGTATAACTGTCTTTTATAATTGGTAATTGTGTTGTTGTTGTTTTTAGTGTCTGTAATGTTGTATGATTTTCTAATGGACCCTGAGTCTGACAATAAAGTTGAACTGAACTGAACTGAACTATTGTTCATTTGGGGTCAGTATGAATTTTCACGCTTCTGAAATAATTGTCTTAAGGTACACCAAGGATGTATTTATTTGATAAATTTAAAATAAATTATATAAATATAATTTATTCCCATGATGGAAAAGCTGTATTTTCAGCATCATTACTCCAGTCTTCAGTGTCACATGATCCTTGAGAAATCATTTTAATATGATGATTTGCTACTCAGGAAACATTTATTATTATTATCAATGCTAAAACAGTTTTACTGCTTAATATTTTGTGGAAATGGTGACACCTTGTTTCAGGATGAGCAATGGAAAGTTCAAAAGAACAGCATTTATTTGCCATAGAAATCTTTTGTAATAATGTAAAAGTCTTGAGTGTCACGCTTGATTAATTTAATGCAACCTTGCTGAATAAAACAAAAACAAAAACAAATACTGTATTGATGCCAAAATTTTGAACGGTAGTGTACATTACTTTTTTTTTTTTTTACTTCCTCCATACTAGCATTATGGAAGAAGTTAACAATAGTTAACAACAAATTTGTTTTTACTACATACAGCTGGAATAGTGGCTTGATACCAATTTGTCACATAGAATATAAACCTTACTCAGCACTGTGACTCTTACCTTGAATTCCTTTAGGACCAGGTGGCCCTGTTTGGCCTTGAGGTCCAGGATCCCCTTGTTGCCCTCGTCGCCCATTTGACCCCATCATACATGGTCCAGGAGGACCAGTTGGACCTCTGCAGCCTTTCACACCAACAGCTCCTTGACATCCCCTGTCACCTGTCAGTCCAACAAGATTATCTCCCTGGGAAGAGAAAAAGGGTTTTTAAAAAGAAATTAATGTCTGTACATTACTGTACGTGTACATACAAATCATCCAAAATTCATATGAAGAAAAGGTTCAGTAATGAACTGTCCAATTACATTACATGATATTAATTGCTCATAACACATTGTAACTAGTAAGGAGTCTTATATATATATTTATGTTTGTGTATAGTACAGCACAACTTTTTTATGAATGTTTATGCCGTACCAGAGATCCAGGATCTCCAGGAGCACCAATCTTCCCATCAGCCCCTTTCATCCCATTACACCCTGGCTTTCCACATGGTCCAGTAGATCCCGGGTCACCTTTCGCTCCTTTAACATAATGCAAAAATTTCAATACAATTTCTGATAATTGCACGTCGGTTCACATGTAAAATTTGATTTGATGGATAACTTGATCAGAAAAATCTGAAGAAATATAAAACCTGTGTCAAAAGTCTGGCCAAATGCTCAGGGATCAAGAAACTGCACTGCAATTCTACTATCAAACATTTAATATCAAACCAATTCATGCTTTATTATTCTATTGAAAATATCCTTCGTTGTTAGACCATTTTGGGTTAGTCTTAAAATGTTTAACATATCTAACAATAATCTATAAATTGCAAATATGCTTCACCCTTTGTGCATGACACAATAACACCTCCTTTCTCTCCTTTAATCCCTCGGACACCTGTGAAGCCTCTGGGACCCTGAGAAACAACAACAGACACAAACAAAAAGAAATCCTTAGATACACAAACATATACAAGCACAATACAAACTTATTTTGAATTTCAACCAGGTTTACATACAGTAACACCTCCCACACCCATCTCTCCGATGAGTCCGATATCACCAGTGAGACCCCGGTACCCTTTTCGCCCAGGATCACCAGGGTCACCCGGAGGGCCTTGGAGACCACGATCGCCAGGTAGATCACCAGGTGGGTCACATGCACATCCCCCATCAGGACCTGAAAGGGAACACAAACAAATATAATAAGCACAGGTGCTCATACTTTGGTTAGAAAATATGCTTTTCCGCCCCCTAATGGGCACTGATACACACTACTCACAACTTTACAGCTAGGACAAAAGAACCAGAATTAAGCAGCACCATGGACAGCACCAGATAAGATGCTCTTATACTTATGAGCAGGTTCTGCACATTCATATCAGTCCTTCACACAGATACCTCCTCCTGTATGTTCAATTCTTACATATTTTGGCTAATTTGATAATGCTTCAGCTACAAACAAGCTGCATAAACAAATTTTACTATGTTTAAAAAAATTTAGAAAAATATGAAAAAGTTCACATATTCAATATAGACCTATTCATGAGATAAATCATAGATTATAGTATATAGAAATGCCTATTCACTAAAATAGTATCACTAAAAAGTTTTTGGACACTTAAGTCATGATTAAAATGTATGACTAAAAATTTATAAAAATGACAAAATGTACTATATATGTTGTAATGTCAGTCTGTGTTCCCCTGTCATTTCTTGTTTTAGCAGTTCCCCACTATGTCTATTAGTCTTCCCAGGTGTCCCCGGTTAACCACGCCCCCTTGTTATCTTGTTCAGCTCGTTTGCCCTTGTATTTAAGCCCTGTGTTTCAGTCCAGTCTTGGTGAGTTCTTGTATTGTTACTGTTAATGTTGGATGCCCTGTTCCTGTTCTGAGTCTGAGTCTTTGTGAAGTTTTCAGTTTATTTAATAAAGTGTACTGCATGTGGATCCTGCTTCCTCCGTGCTTCAACCACCATCGTAACAGAAGAACTCACCGAAACTATGGATCCAGTAGTCACAAACAACCAGGCCCTAAGGAGATACCTGTTGTCAATGTCACAAGATGGCCAGCCCATAGTAAGGTATGTGAAGGACTTCTGGGCTTGCTGCCATTTAGCGTCCCTAGACGACGTCCAGCTTATAGAGCTGTTCCGGAGCGGACTAGACGAGGGCATCGCTCTTATGATGCCAGATGACTATACCGACTGGACGCTAGAACGGTATATCGACCTGGCACTTTTCCTGAGCGATTCGTCGTTTGCTGTGGACATGGAGAAGAAACTCCATCAACCAGTAGTATCCCTTCAGTCTGGTCTTTACGTCACTCCCATTATCAAGCCACCCACCAGATCGATCTATAGCCGTCTGGTGTCCAGCGTGGCCGATCCCCCGCTGAGGTCAGCACGGGTTGCCAAAAAGGCTAACCTGCTTGGGACTCGTTTCGTCCAGACCGTCCCGCCTGCCAAGCCAGAGACCGTCCAGCCAGAGACCGTCCAGCCAGAGACCGTCCAGCCAGAGACCGTCCAGCCAGAGACCGTCCAGCCAGAGACCGTCCAGCCAGAGACCGTCCAGCCAGAGACCGTCCAGCCAGAGACAGTTCACGTCACGTCTGCTCAGCCAGAGACCGTTCACGTCACGTCTGCCCAGCCAGAGACCGTTCACGTCACGTCTGCCCAGCCAGAGACTGATCACGCCACGCATGTGCCACCTGAGCCCTCAGTGACCGCAACACTGGCCATTATGGCCACAGCCATGTGGTGTGTGTGGGCTACGCACACACTTGAGCCGGTGTCCGCTGATCCTGCGCCAGAGCCCGCTGATCCTGCGCCAGAGCCCGCTGATCCTGCGCCAGAGCCCGCTGATCCTGCGCCAGAGCCCGCTGATCCTGCGCCGGTGTCTGTTCCTGCTGATGACCCCATGGCTGCCCCTAAGAAAATTTTGGGGGGGGGCAGTAGGACCCTGGATGGGACTGTGAAGGCCGCACCGCCATGGCCGCCCGAACGGTCTTCTCCGCCATGGCCGGCCGCAGGGTCCTCTCCACCATGGCCGCCCGAAGGGTCTTCACCGCCGTGGCCGCCTGAAGGGTCTTCACCGCCGTGGCCGCCCGAAGGGTCTTCACCACCGTGGCCGCCCGAGGGGTCTTCACCGCCATGGCCGCCCGAAGGGTCTTCACCGCCGTGGCCGCCCGAAGGGTCTTCGCCGCCGTGGCCGCCCGAGGGGTCTTCGCCGCCGTGGCCGCCCGAGGGGTCTTCGCCGCCGTGGCCGCCCGAGGGGTCTTCGCCGCCGTGGCCGCCCGAGGGGTCTTCGCCGCCGTGGCCGCCGGAAGGGTCTTCGCCGCCGTGGCCGCCCGAACTACCTAGTCCACCCTGGTCGCCTGCGCAGCCTGCTCCGCCCTGGTCGCCTGCGCAGCCAGCTCCTTCCACGTCCCATGGCCCAGGTCCGCCCACGTTCCTGGCCCACCATTGCAAGGCCCTGGTCCTGTTCCCCGTGCGGACCTGGCCCGCCATCCCTCCCCCAGGACCGCCTCCGCTCCACCACCCTCCTGAAATGTCTGTTTTTTGTTTTTGTTTTGATGGGCGTCGGGAGCCGCCCATTGAGGGGGGGCTATGTTGTAATGTCAGTCTGTGTTCCCCTGTCATTTCTTGTTTTAGCAGTTCCCCACTATGTCTATTAGTCTTCCCAGGTGTCCCCGGTTAACCACGCCCCCTTGTTATCTTGTTCAGCTCGTTTGCCCTTGTATTTAAGCCCTGTGTTTCAGTCCAGTCTTGGTGAGTTCTTGTATTGTTACTGTTAATGTTGGATGCCCTGTTCCTGTTCTGAGTGAGTCTTTGTGAAGTTTTCAGTTTATTTAATAAAGTGTACTGCATGTGGATCCTGCTTCCTCCGTGCTTCAACCACCATCGTAACAATATATATATTTCAACAAATTTTAGAATAAATTTTTTTGGGGGGGTTAACATTTTGGTAAAAGCATATACAGCTCAAAATTGTAACTGCTCTTTCTGATTTAACTGGCTTTACACTACATTTCAAAGTAATTTTTTGGGGCAAGTTTTGGGTAATTTAAAAAAAAATTCAAAATACGGATTTTATGCTCAACAAGGCTGCTTTATTTGATCAAAGCTTCAGTAAATGATTGTGGAATATTATTACAATTAAAAATAACTATTTTCTATTTTAATATATTTTAAAATGTAATTTATTCCTGTGATGCAAAGCTCAATTTTCAGCATCATTACTCCAGTCTTCAGTATCACATGATCCTTCAGAAATCATTCTAATAGACTGATTTGCTGCTTAAGAAACATTCATTTTTATATTATCATCAATTTAAAATCATATGTCAATGTCTTAAAACTCACCTTTTCTCCCCTGGACACCTGGTAATCCAAAAGGCCCTCTCTCTCCAACCTGTCCAGGTTCTCCACGTTCTCCAGGAAGGCAGTAGTAACCTACGTCACAGACAGATACTCTCATCACTGTGTATCAGCTGTACTTCTTTTGAACTATAGTGTAACGTCTTATGTATTTAGGTATGATGTTACTTGCATAAATGTGTTGGATAAATGTATGTAGCATGTGACAGTTAAAATGTTGTGCTCACCGCAAACTGTTCACTCGAAACACATGACGAGACAAACGTTGACATCATGATAGGATGGACATGCACACAAAAACAACATGCGAGCAGGCAAACAAAAAATGATGACAATGCTTTAGAAGGACATACAATAACTTCATTGATGATGCACACACATGTACATTATCAATAATACCTACAAAATGAGACATATGTTAGTGTGTCTACATTAAACATGCTAAATGTTTACTTGAATGAATTACAAATCAAATGAAAATATGTCAAAGTACAAAAAAGGCACTAAGGGAACTAAGTAAATGCTTACATGCTCTCAAAAGTTTAATTGCAAAGACTAATGGCTTCGAGTCGCCCTCTAACATGCATTTTATACATGTATGTGCAGGTATGTGCAGATAGCTTGATGTGACTGAATCAAAATGTCATCAGGGCTGGTTAAGACAGACAATGGAAAATGGAAGAATGCGAGGAAAAAAATCCATATCCACTCACCGGGAATGCCAGGATTTCCTTGTCGTCCTTTACGTCCAGGAGGGCCTCGTTTTCCAGGTTCCCCTAGATGAAAAGTCATGATGTTACTAACTCACATTACAAAAGTATAAAAAAAAAACTATTTTCTTCTCTGTCTTCTCTCTCTTAAATGGAAAGAGTACGATAACAATACGCTACCGTATTTGAGGTCAGTAAAGTTTGGGGTCACTAAGGTTCCCCTTCGTCAGTTCACTATGACGTACGTCATAACTGACGAAATGGGGATCTCGCTTGAGAGACCAATCTACTTTGAGTGTAAACTAAACGAGCCATTGCACATTGGCATGTGATAATAGCACCAGCTCCTGAGCATATAATGAGCAGCAGGTGCGATCTTTGTCTTTCGCTTTGGAGCCAGACGGTGAATGCTGTTCCTGCTCTGCATTCTTATCTGAGAGTGTTTTAACTTCAAAAGACAAGTCTGCTTCCTCAGGAGAACGCAGGTGAGACTAGGTGAGAATAACAGACTTCTTTAAAAAACATTTAAAAATCTCACCGACGCCAAACTTTTGTTAGTAGTAGTGTAAGTATATTGTATGTCTTATGTAGCATCCATTCACCAGGATTGTCATTCGGAGAGTCATAGTATGGGTATATGTGAATTGGCCTTAACGTGTCAGTCACACACATAATATTCTTTAAAAATATTACAATGTCTAATAAAATGTTTACTGAATATTATTATGGTCAGCCAAAATATGGGAAAAAAATCAGAAATATTACCGTAGCTTAAGAGTGACCCATATGTTTTTCCTGGGTCACCCTTTTCTCCTTTGAATCCATTGAGACCCTGGAAACCAGATTCACCCATTGCACCTAAGAGCAAAGCAGAGCAGAGTTAGAACGAGAATCAAGAAATGAAAGAGAAACAGGCAGAAGGTTTGAGCCTAAGACCATAACTATGATTATAATTTACAAATGCCATAAAAAAGATTATATTTATGATTATTCACACCTGTTACAGATGCTCCTGAATCACCAAGGGTACCAGGTATACCTATCATCCCTCTATCCCCAGGTGGCCCGGCGGCACCGGGGAGCCCAGGATCTCCAGGTGGTCCTACAGCACACATTAATATTACATCATTTTTAAAATAAAAGGACAATTTATTTGAACACATTTTTAAATCAAATCATACATTTATAATTATATATATATATACCCTTCAAAATAGATAATGCTGTACAATGAAAATTGCATCTCAAAAATCTCAGTTCTCGCCGTCTCTGAAAAGCCAAGCCAATGCTGATTTTCGTTTTATTACGAGCTCTGTCACGCTCTCTTTTTGCCAGCAGACTCCCCTCTATTTAGCATATCTTTAAAATGGATGGTTCCCCAGGGGATTGAGATTTAGAAGCTTCCTCGCTCATTGTGACAACTAACCTATGCCACTCCCACACTATAGACGCTTCAAAGTAGCCAGAGAGCAACTTTTTCACAGCCATTTTAAGGCAAGCCTCCAAGGTTAGCAAAACAATGTGTACTGCTGCGGTACACAGGGAAGGAGACCAGAGGCCTTTTTGTCAATGGAGGAGAGGCTTTAATACATTGAATAAACAGCTTTTGTATGAAAACAGCTTATCACTTAAATGGATAGTAAACCCAAAAATACAAATTCTGTCATAATTTACTCACCCTCAAAGTTTCTCAAATTTCTATGTTCTATTAAACGCAAAGGACCATTATTTGTTTGGTTACCAACATTCTTCAAAATATCTTCTGTTGTGTTCAACAGAAGAAAGAAACTCATACAGGTGTTGGAACAACTTAAGGGTGAGTAAATTATGACAGAATTTTCATTTTTGGGTGAACTATCCCTTTAAGGAAATCGACAGCCTATCGGCTAAACTTCAACATATTTGCCCTTAAAGTGGTTAATATTATCTAGTAAATGGATTTCCACTCTAATCAAAAATTATATTACAAACATAATAAATGTAAATATTTAAAAGAAGAAAACAAAGGTTTTGTTATAGCTTTTGTAGCAAGGGCACTGCCATCTTGCATTAATACAACCCGTGACGTCACAAGGTTGGTTGGCTTCCTTGGGTTAATAAAGATTATTATAGTTTCGCTTCTGGTCTTTGATTTTTCTGCTTAGTTGCTGTAATCGTTACTAGTAATAGATAGACTCACAATATCTGTCACGAAGTAGACAACCAATAGAGGGCTTGCAACCAATAAGTCAGAACTCCAGCAGTGAAGGAACAAAATGTATTTGCGTGGTGTGCAAAAGGATAAAAAAAAGGATGATGACAAGGAAGATGATGGGACTTTTAATCAAAGATTATGTTTCTTTTTTTCAGTTTTATAGGAGAAGTCAGGGACAATTTTGCGGCAGTTAGGATTCAGTTTACGGCACTTCTTATTCATTTCTATGGAAACCGCAAACAGTGACTGCTGGTTGAGAAACACCCACTGACTTTTCTCTATTTACATATATGATGAGACATGCACGGACGAGTGTCGTATGTACACATTTCCCTACAAAAAACACCCAGTCAGGTCTAAAACATAAACTCTTATAATAGGCTTACCATAGTGAATCAGGGTAAGACAAAGACACATTTTGGAAGAAGGATTGATGATGTATTGACTCTTTTAAATTTAAATTTTGAACAAAAAAATGTGCATAGTGTACCTTTAACTTCACTGAAGCATTAATTACAGTTTGCACAATAAATTTAAGCAAGCCATGAAGTGAAACACTAATTGTACAGTTTTCAACATGTTTACAATGTGGTTGTGTACTAATGTAAAAACGATTACCTGTCATATAGTTATAATAGTACTGTGGCTTTCCTTTAGGACCGGGGTCACCTGGGAAGCCCTGCCACACATTCACAGCAGCAGCGTCAGTGAACAAATGACAATACACCACAGGTTTAAATATCTCTTACTAAATCTCTATCTTTCAAAGTTCATACAATGCAACTGAGCAATATTTAAAATGCAAATGAAAAGTCTATTCAGAATGTGTGTCTGACCTTTGGTCCTGGATTGCCAAATAGACCAGGGAGACCGTTTTCCCCAAGTTTCCCCTGTATATGTAAAAAAACATAACAACCGAAGAGACAAACAGTATAAATCAACAAAGCTATTATGTTAATATAAATTACTAATTTTGAATAATAATAAAGAATTATTAACACATGTACCTTGGGTCCTTGAAAACCTGTTCGGCCCGGAAATCCAGGAGGGCCCTATGATTATTTAAAAAATAAATTATATTAAGATCTAGTACAACAACATCTATGACTGAAAAAGTACACAAAGGATAGAGTTGAGTTAAATTACTTAAATTAGATCTGAATGTGTAAAATTAGTGGAATTTGATGTGTTGGATTGGTTCATTTTCAATGTTTTGACTGGTTGGTTTGGAATGGTTGAATTTTTATAAATTTTTGTTATTAGATGGTTTGTGGTGTTATTGGTTGGTTAGAGTGTTAGAATGGTTGGTTTGAGGGGTTATGCAGGAATCATTGCAGTGTTGTGGATTAATTGATATGGAAACGGGTAAATAGTCTTACTCTGGGTCCAGAGAACCCAATTATGCCTTTCTCTCCTTTTTCTGCTGGAGGCCCTTCAGAACCCTGAGAAACACATAAATGAATGTAAAACCACATTATTGCTTGAACTAATGTAGATCTCATACTGCTGCATGCTACGTTATTTCAGAAATTATTAGGTCTAATTATTGAGATTTACAATACTTACGTAAGGGCCAGGAATTCCACAAATTCCTTTTTGTCCCTTTCCCCCCTACAAACAAAGTTATAAGTATTTAAAAAAAATCCACCATCATTTACTATCTGGCATCCTTATAAAACTGAAAACACATTTCATATTTCACTCATTTTACCTTATCGCCTTTTACATAGTCTTCTGGGTTGGGCTCCACATATTCAAATGGACCTGGATCCCCCTGAGGACCTTGAACCCCCTGTAAGAGAATCAAGATGAAATCATTAAACACAGCTTCACTTGTATTCTGTAAATTCAGTACCACCATGTGTGTCATTTACTTCATCTCCTTTTGGTCCAGGCAGTGATCTTCCCGCGTCTCCCTACAGGGAAACAGGGCAAAATTTCATTTAAAAAAAGGTACAATAATCTAAATGATTCCATATTACTCACAGATGGCAGTCAGAGAACAAGCAGAAGTTCAAGTCAAAATAAAGGTACACTATGTAGCTTTTTTTGTTCAAAAGCCAATACATCATCAATCCGTCTTCCAAAACGTGTTTTTGTCTAATCCTGATCCACTATGGTAAGCCTATAATAAGTGTTTATATTTTAGAACAGACGTGATGGTTTTTGTGGGAAATTACATACATGCGTCACTCGCCCGTCCGTTTCTCATCATATCCGTAAATAGAGAAAAGTTGCACCGGCCGCTTTGACGCATGTATGGTGTGGGAGTGTCAGAAGTTAGTTGTTATAATGAGAGAAAAAGGCTGACATGAAGCAGCTAAATCTCAAACCTCAGGGGAATCACCCGTTTAAAACAAACACCGAACAGAGGAGAGTCTGCTGGCAAAAAGAGAACGTGACAGAGCTTGTAATAAAACAAGAACCAACATTAGCTTGGCTTTTCAGAGATGGCGAGAACTGAGGGATTTAAAATGTTGAGGGAGTTGGTGTTTTTATTACTCAACATGTGAGTAAAGTATTTTATTGAAGATATAAACTGCCATATGTATCTCTCTAACAGAGTTGATTGTAAAGCATTATCTATTGTGAAGGGTAATTTCATTATGGTTGTTGTAGCACTGTGCTGGAATTTATTTTCAAGGAAGTATCGTGTCTATTAATGGGCAAAGTTACAGTAACATCTTCAGCTAGTCAGCTTGAGATCCTCTCCATCTAAACAGATTATTTCTCTTAAGCCTAGTAGTGAATGTTTTATGAGCAGTAGGATAACCATATTCATCCGCAAAATAATGCAGAGCCGAAGCACAACCAAAACAATGTTCTTCTGCAAAATACATGCAGTTTTGTTTTTAACTGCTGGAGGGCCAAAAGTTACATACTGTGTATAGTGTACCTTTAACTTCAGTCATCTTAGAGAATATTCATTCTCATTGGCATGTACATGCAAAACTCACCGGTTGGCCTTTCGGACCTGGTAAACCCCGTATGCCCTAGGATAAGCAAAGAAAAAGGAAAAAACAAATACAAGAAATCAAATGAAAGAATTTAGAAACATTTAGATAAAAGAGATCAAGCAGCTGAGCTTAAGTTTGTATATATATATATATATACAGTATATATACAGTTGTAATCAGTTTTGAGATTGCAGAAGTCATTAAAAGTCGCATTTTCAGTTGAATTTGGGGAAACCACTTGAAACAGTTGTTGTGTTAAGCTATTTCAATGACTTTTGTCTGATTTGTTCATTGCAAACAGCTGAACGTATGTAAATATTGCCAATAAACCTGATTTGCAATGGGGGTTGAATCATTTTGATTACAACTTTATATTAATACACACAAAAACTGTTGTGATATTCAACAACAAATAAACAGGGAAAAAGAAAAAAAACATACTACATAATTTTGCAGATGTAGTGCTTGTAAACAAGAATGCTTCCCTCACCATACTTCCATCACGTCCTACTCGTCCTGGTGGACCTTGTGGACCAAAACCCCCTCTAATTCCCTTTGTGCACATGCAAACACAGACACAGACAAACAAAGCAAACCTAAGTAATAAATAAAACTGCAATAACATATAACTACATTGCACCAATTTAATCTATTATATGTTCATATAAGATCTGCTTTTTTGCTCTTAGTACATACTTGTGGTCCACGTATTCCTGGTGATCCAACAACACCCTGTGAATGAGGGTCACAAGTTTACAGATTTGTTAGGTATAAAAAGATTCATTTTTGTAAAAGTTTAACATAAATCAGTTTGGGCACTGCTTACTTTCAATACATTCAGCAGTACTAAAATATGAACGACATGAATTTATGGCATTATACGTACAGGTGTTCCAGGAATGTAAGTTATCCTATAAGAGGTGTCCCCTTTGATACCTTTCAACCCAGGTAGTCCCTAAAACACATATGCAAGTAAAAAAGAAGGGAGTCATGGAAACAATTTAGTTAAAACAATCGTTTGTTTGTTTATTATGTTTTTATCACCATTTTATAGCATAGCAAACACAAGGTAAGTATCACAATCCATAAAATCTAAATTATTAAATAAAACATTTTAACTTACCATAAGATAGAAAATCTAAAATACATTCAGGTGATACATTCTGAAATATTCCATGTAAACATGTTTCTGAATAAAAGCGTTTTCTGGCAGTATCATAAAAAATACAGTCCAACAGACTATGTTTAACAGTCAAAGAAAGTTGACACGAGAGACATAAAAAAGTCTTCAGTGACCCAGTCAGCACCTAGTGAAGACGACTTGGTCATGCCTAGATTTGAAGTTATGGAAGACACTTTTGTTTTAATCCTGGGGTTTATTTCATTGAGTTTATTGTTTTTATATTCGTCCCATTCCTTCTGCCACTTGTTGGTGAATGTGGTTTCACCAAGTACCACATGTTCCTGGATCAACATCGTTGTTGATCCTGGATCAACTTTCCAATCAACCAATCAGATTTGAGGGACAAGTTTACAGTTTATGTCAAGTTTAGGCTTAGAACCAGGGTGAAGTACTTACACATCAGTGTCATTCACCTTTCATTACCCTCTGATTTTAGGGAAAAGTTATGCGTAGGGTTAGGTTTAGGGGTAGGGATTGGGTAAGGACTACATTTTGGGACAGGAATGTTGATCCAGGATCAACAAAATATGTTGATCCAGGACCATGTCTTACTTGGCAAAATCACGGTGACCGCCACTTGTTAGTGTCCACTCTCTCATACCAGTCAGTCCAATGTGACTTGGAACCCAGCAAAAGTTGATATTGAAGTTTTCCTTCTACAAAAGATCTAATTTAGTTAATATTTTGACAATTATGGGGTGGTCAGTCTTTACGGACTCAAGTGCTTGAAGACAAGACCTTGAGTCAGAGGCAATTAAAAATTTTTGTTCTTGACCCTTCTCAATATTTTCCAGAACCAGAAATAATGCTAGAGCCTCAGCTGTGAAGATAGCGCCTTGGTCTGGAATTAAAATGTTAAAACAATCGTAAAAACTATCAAAAATCATAAAAGCTGGAGGCAGCTATGTTATTGCTGTTTTGAGAACCAGAGGAAATGGTTAAACCGAATAAACCCAGTCAACAGGAATTCAAAATGACATACTGTTACATTATTGTATGTGATTTGTTTTCTTGCATGCTCCTGTTCTAATTGTAAACGATTTACTGTGTTACACCAGGATTTTTTTTGTTGCATTTTTTTCTAATATTTCTTTTTAACCCCTCTCTTCCAGACCACTTTTCACTATCCAATCGATTCCCAAATCAATCTCACCCTACAATTTTTCTTGTCGAATATCCTTTTTCAATAAATCAGACTATGAAAATAAAATGGGTTCATGTTGACTCTAAGAACTGTTTCACATGGGGATGCTTGCTAAACCTATGTCGTACCATGGGTCCTGGCAGGCCTTCTCGTCCTATCTCACCATCCAGCCCACGTTCCCCTCTGGTTCCATTACATCCATCCTTCCCTGGAAGCCCAGGAAGACCACCAGGCCCCGGATGACCCTGGAAGATGACCAACATAAGGTGTCCATATAGGGTAAAAACATGCAGGTAAATTACTAATCAAAACTATTGTATTAATACAGTTCAGTACAATATGATATGATATGATGTAATGTAATGTAACGTAATATAATTTTTTTTAATTCAAAAAAAAACTTAATTAGATTTAACCATTTGCACTCATGATGTCTAGTAGCACATGTATGTATTGTTAACTACAAATGGATCAATCGTTGCATAGAATATAGGTTGCATTTCTATTGATGAATACTGCAGACTGTTACTTACAGGCACTCCATCTAACCCAGCATGACCGCTATATCCTTGAACACCCTATTACAAAAGAGTGGAACAGAATGAAGGTCCTTGTATTGATTTGTATGAGAATTGTGTATGGGTATGTGTGTGTTTCTGTGTACCTGGTCTCCTCTTGAGCCAAACTCCCCAGGGAATCCTATGATACCACGTACACCCTTCTCGCCGGAAAGTCCTGGGGTGCCAGGCAAACCTGGGGGGCCATTGGGGCCCTGCCGACCTAAGATACCAGGATTTCCCTGGAAAGCAAGAGAGGGAAAATAAATATAATACAATGCTATTATAGTAATATCTACTGCAACTCTACCATGGAAAGTCAAAATTCTTGTTTAAGAAAATATAGTATATTATAGTTAATTGTTATGACCATTTGTGACAGTATAGTGTAACTGAATCCATTCTAAATTTTCTATTTTGGAATGTACACTACCGTTCAGAAGATGCTGAAAATTCGTCTTTAGTCACAGGAATAAAGTACATTTTAAACTATATTCAAATAGAAAACCATTATTTTAAATTGGAATCATCTTTCATAATATAATAACAACATATGTTTATGAAATTAATGTATCAATTAAGCTTTGTTGAGCATAAGAGAATTCTTTCAAACCCAAACTTTTGAACGGTAGTGTGTTTTTACAAAATCACCACAAGGGTGTGACAAAACATAAAAAACATACTACGGTATATGCACAGCACTGCTGTGTGTCACCAATTCCTACTTGTTTTAGGATGGAGTGTGACTGGTCAGTGATGTTAAGTGAGTTGTGCTTGAGTATGATGGTTAGTTTTAAAGTGCTCTCAGTGTGTGGTGTAAGTGTGATTAGTGAATAATTCTGTTGTACATACTTGTAATGAAAGACGGTGGATGGGGTATAAAAATGCTTTTACTTCAAAAATAAATAGTAATGACTGTTGCGTGAGAATGAATTATTGAAATTCATAAATGACTGACTATCCAAAAGAGCTCTGACTGAAACAAAACACACACTGACGGGAACTGAGACCGCGCACACACACATACGGGAACAGCAGTGGAGCACTGTATATACAACAGGGGTGTATGACAAAAGTAGATGCTTCGCGATTCTCTCTCCAATGATTCTTGATCGATTCTGACAAAATTCTGTGCTTAGTTTTTAACCGCAGATATGTGTGATGACGCTGCGTGTGCTTTAGAAACACCCGTATTCTTCTCGGTTCCAGTTCCAATTCTCTCTCTCTCTCTCTCTCTCTCTCTCTCTCTCTCTCTCTCTCTCTCTCTCTCTCTCTCTCTCTCTCTCTCTCTCTCTCTCTCTCTCTCTCTCTCTCTCTCTCTCTCTCTCTCTCTCTCTCTCTCTCTCTCTCTCTCCCTCTCTCTCACCTCCATCTCTCTCTCTCTCTCTCTCACCTTCCATCTCTCTCTCTCTCTCTCTCTCTCTCTCTCTCTCTCTCTCTCTCTCTCTCTCTCTCTCTCTCTCTCTCTCTCTCTCTCTCTCTCTCTCTCTCTCACCTTCCATAAAATAATCTTTCATAAAGTTTGGAAATGTTTAAGAGAATTACAAGGGCATTCACTGGCTTCATCGCCCACAGGTATTTTCCTTACAAATGCTCTACGAAGGATCATTTATGTCGATTGGAATGCTGTGGGCTTATTAAAAATATAAAACTCACTATCAGAAGGCTGCTTTCAATTTCAAATGTGTGCGCTTTGTGAAGAGCGCTCACGCATGCGGCTGTGCGCGACTCCGTGTAAGTGGTTAAATGTACTAACATCTCAAAATGCGCTTAAGAAGCAAAATTGATGTAAACAGTCAGTTCCCTTTCAATTGGTCACGTTCGACGCCATATCGGAGTGATCCGACTGCATAGGAAACCCTCCTCAGAGGGTTACTTCAGACAGTGGTGCGGGTGACCTGAGGATCACGGTGAGCCCGCTTCCTTCGGGGCACCAACCCCCTAGGAACCACATCCCTCCAGCTCTCCACAGCCAGTTGAGCCGCAGAGAGAGCGTGCTGGACCATCCACAAGGTGTGTACCAGCCGTTTCTTTCAGTGCTCCCCCGATGACCGGATGTCGATCGCTGCATTGGAGGGTGAGTCAGACTTCTCAAGGGATGATGATTCAGCTGTGTTGTCTTCTTCGGACTTAACTGGCCAGGCTTACCGGGCCTGTGGGGAAGCCGCCTCTGCCTTACACGCCATGGCATTGTTGCAGGTCCATCGGGCCAAGGCACTGAAGGACCTGCACGAGGGTGGTCATGATCCCCAAGTTCTCCAGGAACTTCGTGCCGCGACGGACCTCGCGCTTTGAGCGGTGAAGGTGACCGCAGGCCCCTGCCAAGAGGGGTGGCAAAGCCAAAGGCAAGAGGCCCTAGGACGGGCGACCAAGAGATAGTGGGGACTGCTCTTCAGGAGATGGTGACCGCACCACTCCCTCCCACGGAAGAGGGCTGGGTGGAAAATCTTGTGTTTCCTTTTATTTGTGTTCCGCCGCTGGCGTCAAAACCAGCGGTACCCAAATTTTCAATAAAAGAGCAGTTTCTTCAATCTCTGGGTCCGAAGAGGGCCCGGAGAGCAGTGGGTGGAGACAATCTTCACCACTCTCATCCGCCTCTTCCATCGCCAGCTGGCAGCAGCGCGCAGTTCGAGACTGCAACCAAGCCTCCTCCTGCGCCCCCTGCCCTGTGGAAGCAGGTAAGTGTTGCACAGCACACTCAGACCCAGCTACGGGCTGGCATGCAAAGAAAGCCCCCCGAGCCGTGTCCCTGTGTTCCACCTCACTGCCCCACTGCGGGTACACCTGCGTTCCCTTTGGTCCCCCTTGTACGGTCTCTGCGAGCCTGGCTAGCACTCCCCAGTCCGTCTCGCTGGCTCATTCAAACCATCAGGCTCGGCTATGCGATTCAGTTCGCCCCACGTCCCCCCAAGTTTCGGGCCATCTGCTCCACTTCAGTGAGAATGCCCATGCGAGCGGAGATCGCAGTCTTACTGGCGAAGGACGCGATAGAGCTGGTCCCTCCAGCCGATGTGAGGTCAGGGTTTTACAGCCCCTACTTCATTGTACCCAAGAAAAGCAGTGGGTTACGACTGATCTTGGACCTGAGAGTTTTTAAGTCTTCTCAAGCTATCGTTCAAAATGCTCACGCTGAAACGCATTTTCGAATGCGTCCGTCCCCGAGATTAGTTTGCAGCGATCGACCTGAAGGACGCATACTTTCATGTCTCGATTCTCCCTCGACACAGGCCGTTTCTGCCCTTTTCTCCGGCCCTGCGGCCGGTCCTTGTCTCCCCGCGTCTTCACGAAAGTCACGGAGGAGGCCCTTGTTCCCATGAGAGAACAGGGCGTTCGCATCCTCAACTATCTCGACAACTGGCTCATACAGGCACACTCTCGAGATCAGTTTTGCGAACACAGAGACCTGGTGCTCAGTCACCTGAGATAGTTGGGTCTTCAGGTCAACTGGGAAAAGAGCAAACTCTCCCCCATGCAGAGGATCTCTTTTCTCGGTATGGAGTTGGATTTGGTCGCACAGAGAAACGCGCTCGGTCTGTGCTGAACTGCTTGAATATGTTCAAAGTCAGGACGGTGTTCCCACTGACCTTTTTTCAGAGGCTCCTGGGGCATATGGCAGCGGCGGTAACGCAGCTCAGCTTCACGGTAGCGTCCCGAGATGGGCGCAGCAACGCGGCACTCACCGGTGACTCACTGGCGTGCCACCAGACCTTCAGCCCGTGTTCAGACCCCTTGTTTCTGCGGGCAGGAGTGCCATTGGAACAGGTGTCTAGGCATGCTGTGGTGTTAACGGATGCCTCTGCCACCGGCTGGGGTGCCACGTACAACGGGCATGCAGTGTCAGGGGTGTGGACGGGCCACCAACTGCATTGGCTGCCTTGAGTTGCTAGCAGTACGTCTCGCTCTGAGCCACTTAAAGAGGCCGCTACAGGGCAGGGACATTCTGGTCTGTACGGACAACACTGCGACCGTTACGTACATCAACCGGCATGGTGGTCTACGCTCCAGTCGCATGTCGCAACTCGCTCGCCATCTCCTCCTCTGGAGTCAGAAGCATCTGAGGTCGCTTCGGGCCATTCGTGTCCCCGGGTGTGCTCAACTGTGTTGCCGACGAGCTATCATGAGCTGCGCTCCCGGGAGAGTAGCGACTCCACCCCCAGGCGGTGTAGCTGATCTGGAGAGCGTTTGGGAAGACTCAGGTAGACCTGTTTGCCTCTCCGGAGACCTCCCACTGCGCAAATATGCAATTCCCCCAGTGAGTCACAGACCCTGTGCAAAGTCAGGGAGGACGAGGAGCAGGTCCTGCTGGTGGCCCCCTATTGGCCCACCCGGACGTGGTTCCCAGAACTCATGCTCCTCGTGACAGCCCCTCCCTGGCCCATTCCTCTGAGGAAAGACCTTCTTTCTCAGAGACGGGGCATCCTGTGGCACCCACGTCCAGACCTCTGGAAACTCCATGTCTGGTTCTACGAAGGTTCTAGGTGACTTACCCCCCGAGGTACTTAACATCATTACTTGAGCGCGGCATTGTCTACTAGACCTGCATGCGCCTTGAAGTGGGACCTATTTGTCGAGTGGTGATCCCCCGAAGATGTTCGATAGGGTCCGTGCTTTCCTTCCTGCATCAAGGGTGGGACCGTGGGCTGCCCCCTTCCACCCTCAAAGTGCATGCCGTCGCTATTTCAGCTTACATAGATGGCAAATCAGTTGGGATTTGCCATCTGCGATTTGCCATCTGAGCGCTCTGCGACTGTACGGGGACAGAACTCAAAGCCTCAGGACCTCAGACCAGTCTTTGTCTGTTACGGAGGCCAGCAGAAGGGAAAGACTGTCTCCAAGCAGAGGTTGGCCCACTGGATAGTTGATGCCATCAAGGCGTGCCCTGTCCGTTCAGGTTGCCGGCTCACTCCACGATAGGCGTTGCATCCTCCTGAGCATTGACACGTGGCGCCTCACTAACAGTTATCTGTAGAGCTGCGGTCTGGGCGACACCTAATACGTTTGCTAGATTTTATAGCCTACAAGTAGAGCCGGTCTCCTCCCGTGTTCTCACCCTAAAGAAGCACTGAGAGGCCCAGCTCTCCTTGCTGCTCCCTACTCTGCGCTTATATTGCTCCAGAGTGAAAAACCTGTTGAGTCCTCTACCACCCTCGGAGCCAGACATGACGGAGCGTCCGGCGCCAAGCCATTATCTGTTGAATCCTTGAGAACCAGGTTTAGGCTGGGTTCCATAGGTGCGACTCTG